ACAGGACATAGGTAAATAATTATATAATAGACAAATTGCTTTGGGAGAGATCTGTAAAGACCTCATAGGTCAGACTTAAAGGGAACTAGGGACCCCAGGAGGAAGAGATCACTCCAGGCATGTGCAAAACAAGGTAGACTATTGGCACCTTGCCTCATCCCTTCTTTGGCAGCCTTCAGTCATTCCCAACTTCAAAGCCCACATATATTTATTCTAGTTGGGTCTTTTAGGACCTTATTTCTTTACCCTAATATGTGGTGTTGGGTAAGGCAAGAGCCTAATGTTTTAAATCAATCTGCCAAAACCATTTTAACCAATATCCTAAATACTGCACTAACAATTACTATTTGACTGAAGAGGTCAAGAAACTAATATTGGTGAGGGTTGGTGAAACAAAAAGATCATCTCACCCCCTTAAGAATTTGCCAAGGACTATGAGTGGTGCCCCAGAGCTATTGCTGATGGACCTCCTTTGCATAAGTCACTCACATTTAGTTTTAAAAAGGTTCCTCCTTCACAATCCCATTATAGATCCCTAATTTGCATGAAGCAGGATCTGAGTTAAATTTGTCCACATCTGTTACTAGATTCAAATAATTTTGTGTTCCTACAACTCCAAGATTCAGTAACTAAGATTTAAAAATTGCAAGATCAGATTCAAAATCAAAGTATGTTTTTCCAATGTAGGTTCACTCAATCCTATTTAACCTAGAAGACTGCAAATCCAAATTCACTAAGTCAAATAAATCCTAGTATCGGGAAACAACCCTCAAAAACAATTTTAAGTACATAACCTCAGATTTACATTAGTGGCAAAGTTCTTTTCCTGAAAGATCTATGCTCATGAATTCTCCCCTAAAAATGAGATATAGACATATAAAGTTACTATTTTCAGGCAAAATCAAGTAACATGTATTATCCAAAATAACAGCTAATACGACAAATCAAATCAGACCAAGGCTTTTATTTTATTCATTTCTTGCATTTAAAATATTCTTCGATGACATCTTTGGCCTGAGATTCCTTGCCATAGTCCTAAAAGAAATCAAGGAGCACTTTTAAATTTATGAGAAGCATTTTTGAATTCACATTTCACAACACTAAGCTCAAATTACTAAGCTAGCAAGAACAGAATTCCTTCACACACCTAATGTGGTAAAACAAAAAGCAATATTTACTAAGCAAGAATTAACTGTAAAGAAAAGGAATCTTTTCAAATTCTATAACATCCAAAACCCAGTTACAGAATGAATGATATAATGTAGCCATTCTCAGGGACCTCAAGGACCTTAGTCATTGAGGCTCGTACCATGGCTGTACTATTGCCAGCACTTTACTTCTGAAAAACACATTCAGGTAATCCAGACGTAATTGCACTGGCTTTCAGGATTTTTTAGCATCCTTTTTCTGATGATACACTTAAAATGACATTTGATAGGAAAATAGTTAAGTACATTATTTTTAAAAATAATTATGAAAACTTTCATTTCAAATAAAGGAGCTCAAACCCATTTTCCCCCTAATTGCTTTCTTGATCTCTGTTGTTTTCCTTCTCAGTTAGAAATAAAGTCTTATATCAAATCTTTCCTCTGAAAAGTCAAATCGTTTATTTTTAAGCTCAGTGGTCCGGCCCAAAGTTACTGACTGAATTAAAGGTGAAAAACAAGATCAACTTACCTTAACAACAACGCAACTGCAGCCAACCACTTTACGGGGCTTTCCTTCTCTGTCAATTTTACAGAGGCCCACCCATTCGCCCAGCTTCTTGTTGTCATCAACCTGTTAAAAAAAAACATACATGCTGAACATGGTACTATGGCTGGCCAACAATTAAAAGGCAGATAGGTGCTGTACGCTCAGATATATCGGGTGACATGGCTGTTCTCTTCAACATAATCAGTAGAGGGAGCCAAGGTGTCATCATGTACAGCAGTTTCAAAACGGATCACACTAACTCCAAAACAACTTCCTTTTGTCTCTTTAGTTTCATTATCTAACCGAAGCAAACATAAGAAAATAAATAAAATGCAACCCTGCATTTCAACTGGCTTGCACTGATCTAAAGCAAAAGTCCAGAAATGCAAATCCAAAGTTTTTATATCCCTGTTTTTTAACTAAATACAAAGAAGTAGCAAACTGTTTTAGGAGAAAACACTATACTGAAAAAATGTGCTATCAACAGTAGAAACTTATTTCATTTAAACACAAAAATTACAGTTTATCAGGGTCCCCTTATAATCATAGAAATCAGTATATAAAAACCTCACCTTGATCAAGTTGATTTGGTGCTCAGCACAGAGGGCCTCAACCAACTTTACATACATAGGTTCATCACAGTTGGAAGCAAGAACACAAAGATGGGCTTGGCGTCTAAAAGGCAGACAAAAGTTCTTGTTAGTCTAGAATAGCTTTGTTTATACAATTTTCATGCTCATATACACAGTAGAGTTTATGGTTGAAAGTTTTTTTTTCTTTTTACATTGGCAACAAACAGCATGATACTACCAATAAAATACCCAGCAAAGTACTACCTGGCAGATTTCATCCAGTCCTATACAGATCAACCCAATATAGTGGGCTAAGTCTGGCATTTAGTGTTCCAATGAACTTTTCTGATTAACTTCAAATTTTCTGCATTTAGTTGTGACCAAAGAGCTCTAAAAGCTTATGGACAACCAACAAAGCATGCACTCTTAAAATTTTAGCCTGTCCCTCAGCTTTTACTTGTTGATAATTAACATTAGAATCAACCAGCAGATATAGAGGATTGTTACCTGTTGCTGGATCAGACATCGAATTAGAATCCATTTTTAAATTGTGCAGCAGCATTCCCAAGGTGCTAAGGTTGAAAGGGACTCATGACAGGCACTGCTGAAGTACATCCAGTCGATGTTTCCATTGGATTGAACTGCCCAGTCTATACCAAAGTGAATTGAACTGACTTGAAATTCATCTGATTTAGAAAGCTTTCAAAATGTACAATTCTCAAAACCAAATTAGGTAGTATTTAACACATGCAGTTACTTTGCCAAGGTAACTAGTCTAGAAAAAAAATACTTTCAACTAGGAACTATTAAGTGTGTTTCAACTAATGGCCCTTGAGTACTATTTAATTACTTGATCAGCTGTACCAAGAAAAACTGAGTTGCCAATTTTGGTTTACTTTATGTTCTGAAGTACAAAATTGGGTTCCAGTCGAGTGCAAAAATATTTTTTTGTTGTCAGACATCAAGATTAGGAGTTCTTAAGCAGTGGTCCATGAACTTTTTGTAAACCTATTTCAATGTAACTTATTTCATTTGTAATGCTACTTTATGCACTTAAAATTTTGAGAATGTGGGCACACAGATTTTAGCAGCCTGCCAAATGGTTACATCACACAAAAAGGTTAAGAACCTCTGTTCTAACTTTTTCCCCCCATAGAACTGCACTCACTACAGGTTTGTCAGACTATTTTTTATCACTCATAAATGGAGTGAAGGGGTATCCGACAATTAAGTCATCATTCAAACCCTGTAGATGTCAAAGCATTAAGCATGTTTTATTCCTAGTTTTACAAAGGGTAAAGGATATAAACTACAGCCAAAATAAAAATCATTATGTATTATCACTGTTATATTCCAAAGAATGTCACCACATTCACAGATATTCACAGTGCTAATCTCCAGTCAATTAAAAAGACTACAGCTCTGCACTTAAATTCTGGTACTAAAATTCTACAAAATCTTGAGTCTGTAAAGACATATTTCTACAGTCGGAAAACTTGTGTGTGTAACCGTTAACTATATGGCCTCAGTCTATGGAACAGCAACAAGTTTCCTAAAGACCAACTCATTTAAAATAGAGCACAAAAATTACTTTTCGGTAGAATATAACCTACTTATGAGGTATGTCTTTAATTCATTCCCAATACCTAGAGAAGGGTGGATACTACAAATATGATTTTTACTTTCCGCCACTTGAGAACTGCAACATAAACATTAGCAACTAAGAGCTGGAAATCTTCTGCTAGTTACAAAATCTGACACCACGCTTGACTTTTAAGAGGACACATCACTGAAAACTACGTCTCAAGAGAAAATTGTGAATTGTAAAATCCCGAGACCTACTTGTCCAAGGCTTTGGCAGCTTCACGAATTCCACGAGCTAGGCCATCGTGGATGAGTGCGGTCTTCAGCACTTCTTGTAGAGCAGTGTTAACGTCCATTACACCTCCAGCAGCAATGCTGAAAATCAATCAAGGGAGATGATCAAAACACCGGTCACTTTGCTCCATGAAGGCCTAATCATTCTTCCTCTTACATCACCCTGAGGTTGCCAGCCACGTGGGAAAAGTTTGAGTCTGCAAAGGCCCCTACTTGGAGGTTGGAAAAGAACAAGCTCAGGAGTAACCTAGGCAGACAGACGGGAATCTGAAGAGGCGCCAAACCTCCAGGCCGAGGTGCACACGTGGTCACGGTGGACCCGGCTTGGGCGGGTAAAATTATACACCTCAGGAGAAATCCTCACTGAAGGCTTCCCCCTCCCACCTCTGAAGACCCGCACTTACCCTTCCTCGGCCATGGCAGCGGTTCACGGGTGAAGCTAAATTTTGAAAACACTGAAATAAGAGGAAATAAAAAAAGTACGTCAAGGGGAACGTCCATGACAGCTCGCGCCCACCACAGAAACCCCTAGCACGTGAAAAAAAATTAAGAATTTCACTTCTGAACGCGCGAACCAGCCACCCACACTTACCCCGGGAGCCTCCGCCTCCCGCTCGACTCAGCGGCGACAGGGAAAGAGGGCCTCCCTCCCCGCCCGAAAGCATTTAAAGGGCTCAGGACCCCTTCGTGCGCATGCTCCTTAGCCTTTTCGGAAAGAGGTGGCTTTAGTGCTGCCAGACCTCGAGATTTTTGTTTCCGGCGATCTTCGCGAGGTCTTTGGCCAGGCACGACCGTCAGGCACACTGTTGGACAGTCCAGGTCTTCTCTCCCGGGCGGAGGATAGGGCCTGGAGATGGAGTCCGGGAGAAGATGTGCGTGGGCGTCTTGATCTGCACGTGGGTTGTCATCACGACTAATCCTGAGTATTTAGTGCGCGTCCCCCTGGTCCGTGGTCCTTTTCAGAGATATGTGATACATGTGGTCCCGTTACAGGACCTTTGCAGCTCATGGTGGATGTGGGCGCTGGGCCAGGGGTCAGGAAGACCTTAGTTAAATATGGCCTCAGACATTAATTGTGCGACTTTGGGCGAGGCCCTAAATATCGGCTTTCCTCAGTTTCACCTTCTGTAAGATGGGGGTAATCACAGCACCCACCTCCCAGGGTTGTGAGGATCAAATGAGAAAATGATTTTTAAGTACTTAGCACAGTGTATAGCACATAGTAAGCGCTATATAAATTTTAGCTATCTCACATAAGATAATATTTGAAAAACACCTGGCTCATAGTAGGCATTTAACAAATATTTCTAATCCAGGGAAAGTCAATCTGCCCTCATGTGGCTTAGTTTTTCGTGATATCACCTTGTTTTCAAGTTCTCCCTCTCCAGTAGCTTCACCTTTTTTCTTAACTCAGCTAAATATTTTTTTTAAAAAAAGTTGAAAATACCCCTCTCTCCAAAAAAATAATAAAATTTATTTTGGCCAAAAAGAGGAAGGAGGGTGATTCATGTTAATCACGGGGCAGTAAGAAAAAAAAATAGAACAGTTATAAAACTGCTTGTTTTCCTGCATGTAGTCTGGTAAACAGTATAAATTGCAATGCTTTGTTCATTTTTAATGGAAGAAAATTGAAAGGCATTGTCTAAGTGAAAATCCAAACTTACTTTTTTTTTTCTTTAGGAATTACTCGCCATTCAGTGGCATAATGTTGGGGTGAGCAATGGAACTAGGGGATCCTTGAAAACTAGCCTCCCCAAGGGTAACACTGAACTTTAATATGGTAGAATCACTATTAACCCCAAATAACAAAGTAGAAAAGGAAATAGAGAAGTATAAGTGTAAGTACCCTGAGGAAGGGGGAGGGGGACAGAGAATCACCTATTTTAAAACTGGTGACCAGGACAAAAGCAGTGATGCATAGGCTTGTTTCATACTCAAATAATCACATTCCTTATTTAAAGAAGGAGTTATAAAAACAGTAATCAAGATTAATATCACAAGAGTGAGGTGCTCTTTTTTCCATTCTCATTCAAAATGTTGACACATCCTTCCACTGCAAAACTGCATCTTGGGAGTTGATGGACACTTAAAAACTGTATTGTCTTGAACTATCAGGTTTATAATTATTAAATGTTGTTTTAGTAGTTGCCTATTGACCTAAAAGTTACATCAAGCAACTATATCTAGCACCCAATGTGTATTGAGAGTTTTGGCTTATGATTGAAGAAGTTTATTTTTTTTCCAGAGATACTAGGGGAATACAGGAACCTGAGAAGAGGCTCCAAGGCACAAGAGGAGAAAGTTTCTTCATCTGTAAAATTAGGAGCATTTAGCAGGTTATTTGAAGTCCCTTCAAGCTGTTATAGAAGTGTGATTTTAAAGGTGAGAATGGGAAAACTGTGTCCATATAGAGTTTTGTTTGAGGTACTGATCATAGGATGATAGATGTAGAGCTGGAAAAGACCTTAGGAGTCATTCGATCCCACCCACAAAATCAACAAATAAGGAATTGGAGTGCAGAAAAGCTAAATGACTTTCCTGAAGTCACACAATAACTAGGAGAGCCAGGATTTAAACCCAATTTTACAGTTACTATTTTTTTTTTAATATCTAGATCTACAAGAAGTTTTCATATTGGTTAGTGGGTTTTTTGGTTGTTTTTTGTTTTTAAATTAATTTCTCCAGTTTCAGTTCTTGAATGGGAGCTTTGTTCTAGGGCTAGGTTTTCCCCATGCTACACTTTTGAGTGGGATGATCAGCCCTGCTTGGTCTTACCCAGGGTTACCTGTGCTCCTGGACTGAACCTTAACCCCTGGAGTTAATCCTAATGGACCTCTGAGGTTCAGAATGCTGAATCTTCAGGGCCCTATCTTATGTCCTGAGACAGACAGGGAACTCATCGACCCTAATAGTGTCCAGATCTACATGTTACAGTTCCATTCTCTTTGCTGCCTGCTGCACTTTCCAAAGACCCACTTGTGAGCTTTCCTGAACATACTGGGGCTTTCTCAGGGGAGCCCTCTGCTCATGGTCTCCAGTCACAGAGCTTTGCAGGCTACATATGTCTCTGTCTACTCTATTTGTTCTGGGATAATACTCTACACTAGCATCAGGGGCATGCTGGAGTCAGCTCGAACTGGCTAAGAGCTGATTCTTAAATTTTCATGATGAGCATTTACACCTCAGAAATTGGCAAACGCTACAAATCAGGGCTTGACTTACTGTTTTGTTGATTTCCCATCACTGAATCCTAGTCTTAAGAAGGTGATGAAAAAATATTAATAATGGAGATTAAGCTTAAAAGTGCATCATATTTACAGTTTTTCCACAGAGCTGGTTATTAAACACCCCTGACAGCTCTCTTTCCTAGTCTTCTGGCTGACCTCTTGTGCAGTTCTGGTATGGAAGAAGCAACTTACTATAGTTTCTCATTGGATTTCTCGATCATTTTTTGGTGTGGTGCAAACTTAAAATTTTTGCTGAAGTAGGTATATGGGAGCTGGACAGTTTGCCTCTAGTTCACAAAGCTGTCTAGTAAGCATTTAATAAATGCTTGTTAATTGATCAATTGATCTCAAATCTAACTTAAGTACTACCTGCTATAATTTTAAACTTGGGCTAATCCCTTTGCTCTTGGGTCAGTTCCACTAAATGGTGCTGCATTCATTGCTTTTTACATTTTTTTTTTGCATGAGTGAACACACACAAACACACACAGTGTCTACAGGAGGTTGCAGCCCCAACTATAGCCCACGGCTCCTCTTAAAGGGATGTTAATCAGGAGAGGATAGGGGAAGGATTTGGGTTGTATATATATGTATAGATATGTATGTACGACAGCATGGAGGAAGAAGGAGATATTATATTTTTGGGGAAGACTAGGAATTTGAGATAGAGGGATGGAGACAGAGGTTATCTATGTTTGGAAGGTTTTCTGTAATTCTTCATAATTCCAGCTAAGAAGGTTTTCTCATGAATCCCTTTGGCTTTGTTGCTGTCAGCTGCTTGTAAATAGTCCAGGGGGACAGACAATAAATAGCCATAACTTAATTATCTGCTGCTTCAAGATTTGTAGAAAATATAAATTATAACCAAAACACTTAGTTCATAAAAAAAAACCTGTTAAACTATGTAGCAATCTTTTTGACTATTCCTCTTCTGACTCTTCTTCCTTATGTTCCTTAAACATCGGTGTTTCATAACTTGGAGTCACCTTTATGTACATGACTACCAAATCTCTATTCAAATTCTCACTAAAAGCTTGTCCCCATGACTTGCCTGCAGAACATATCCAAAGTCTAATCTTATTTGAAAGGAGTCTAACCTTCCTTACCACTACCCCAACCCCTGCCATAGACCCCATAGGTGTTGTCTTCCCTTATTAGAATATAAGTTTTTGGGGCAGAAGGAAGGATTGGAGGAGGAGGAGGGAACAAGCATTCAATTATCATTTACTATGTGCCAGGCACTGTGCTAAGTGTACTACAAATATTATCTCATTTGATCCTCACAACAACCCTGGGAGGTAGATGCTATTATTATCCATTTTTAAAATGTGGAAACTGAGGCAGACAGAAATTAAGTGATTTGGTAGGGTCATACATCTAGTAAGGATCTGAGACAGAATTTGAAATCAGGTCTTTCTGACTCCAGGTCCAGTTCTATATTCACTGTGCCAAAGATATAGGGCTTGTCTTGCTTGTTTTTATTTGTATCCCAGTGCTTAGCAAATTGCTGAGAACATGTTGGTACTTTAAAAATGTTTTTCCTTTCATTCATTCATTCATTCATTCATTCAAATTATTTCCCTGGACCTGTCATTTGCTCTTACCTCATTCTCCCCTATGTGCATGTTCTTATCTTGTCTTGTATTTTAAGCACTTCCAGAGGTCCTGTATCCTCAGTACCTAACACATAATAAGCACTTAATGATTTTCTAAAATTGAATGGAATCCCTAACACTAAGTAATTAATGAAATAAATGGATACTTTTAAACCATGAAAGCCGTACTAATTGTATTCTCTATTTCAGGTCAGTTTCTTAAAGATGTTTTAAAAATCATACATCTGCCAGCTAGACAACATTATTCAAATCAAGTCAAGAAGTATTTAATAAGTACCTATTATGTACCAGACATGTTAATGATCTCTAGGGATACAAACAAAGGCAAAAGCAGTCCCTGCCCTCCAAAAGTTGACAATCTAATGGGAGAGACAACATGAAAATAACTACATTATGAAGTACAAATTTATTTTTTAATTAATTTATTTTTAGTTAACATTCACTTCCATGAGATTTTGAGTTACAAATTTTCTCCCCATCTCTCCTTTCCCCTCACCTCAAGACAGTGTGCAATCTGAAATAAGCTCTACATATGCATTCATATTGAACCTATTTTCACATTAGTCATGTTGTAAAGAAGAATTAGAACCAATGGGAGAAACCACAAGAAAGAAGACACAAACAAAAAGAAAAAAAAAGATCAAATAATGTGCTTCAATCTGCATTCATACCCCATAGTTCTTTTTTCTGGATGTGGACAGCATTTTCCATCATGAGTCCTTCGGAGATGTCTTGGATCCTTGCATTGCTCAGAGGAGATGAGACTGTCAAAGTTAGTCATCACACATTGTGGCTGTTACTGTGTACAATGTTCTCCTGGTTCTGCTCACTTCACTCAGCATCAGTTCATTTAAGTCTTTCCAGGTTTTTCTGAAGTCTGCCTGCTCATCATGTTTTATAGCACAATAGTATTCCATTACATTCATATACCACAACTTGTTCAGCCATTCCCCAACTGATGGGCATCCTCTCAATTTCCAATTCTTTGCTACCACAGAAAGAGCTGCTATGAATATTTTTGTACATGTGGGTCCTTTTCCCATTTGTATGATCTCTTTGGGATGCAGACCTATAAGTGCTATTGCTGGGTCAAAGGGTATGCACATTTTTATAGCCCTTTGGGCATAGTTCCAAATTGCTCTCCAAAATGGTTGGATTAGTTCACAACTCTACCAACAATGCATTAGTGTTCCAATTTTCCCACATCTTCTCAGCATTTAATATTTTCCTGTTTTGTCATGTTAGCCAATCTGATAGGTGTGATGTGGTACCTCAGAGTTGTTTTGATTTGCATTTCTCTGACCAATAGTGATTTAGCGCATTTTTTCATATGATTATAGATGGCTTTAATTTCTTCATCTGAAAACTGCCTATTCATATTCTTTGACCATTTATCAATTGGAGAATGACTTGTATTCTTATAAATTTGATTCAGTTCTCTATATATTTTAGAAATGAGGCCTTTGTCAGAGACACTGGTTGTAAAAATTCTTTCCCAGTTTTCTGCTTCCCTCCTAATCTTGGTTGCATTGGCTTTGTGCAAAAACTTTTCAGTTTAATGTAATCAAAATTATCCATTTTGCATTTTATAATATTCTCTATCTCTTGGTTGGTCGTAAATTCTTCTATTCTCCATAAATCTGACAGGTAAACTATTCTTTCTTCCAGCTTTGTTTATAGTATCAGTCTTTATATCTAAATTGTGTACCCATTTTGAATTTATTTTGGTATATGGTGTAAGATGTTTGTCTGTGCCTAGTTTCTGCCATACTATTTTCCAGTTTTCCCAGCATGAAGTGCAAATTTAAATAATGTGACCACTTCACAGGATTCGTTATTTGAACTATTAGGGACCTAGCTATATGTACAAACAAAATATATATACACCATGTAAAGTGGAGATAATATCAGAGTGCAGGGAGACCAGGAAAATATTCTTGAAAATGGTGGAATTTTAGCTGAAACTTGAAGGAAGCCAGGAGGCAGACGTAAGGACAGAGAGCATTTCAGGCAGAAAGCACAGCCAATGAAAATGCCCAGAGTCTGGAGCTCAGCTTATACAAGGAATGACAAGAAGTCAGTATCCCTGGATCCCAGAAGGACCCAGTTTAGGAAGGGCTTTAAAAACCAAACAGAAGAGTTTACATTTCATCCTGGAAGTGATAGGGATTCACTGTAGTTTATTGAATAGGGAGATGACATAGTCAGAACTCTACTTTAGGAAGACAGCTGAGTGTAGGATGAACTGGAGTGATGAGAGACCTGAGGCAGCAAGAGCAGTCAGCACCAGGCTACTGTAATATAGGTGTGAACTGTGGTGGTAGCAGTGTCAAAGGAGGGAAAGGGGAAAGCTTCCCAAGGGTAGAATAGACAGAACTTGGCAACAGAGTGAATATGAAGGGGGTTGGGGTTTGAGAGGGAGGAGTGGAAGATGACAGATTGCAAGCCTGTGTAACTGGGACGATGGTGGTACCCCTGACAGCAGCAGAAAAGTTAGGAAGAAGGAAGGGTTTTAGGGGAAAGAGAATTCATTTCATTTTGGACATACTGAGTTTAAGAGTTTGTTCATTTTTTTTTTAAATCTGTTGAAAGGAATATGGGACCAGAAATCAAGAAACCTGTGTTCAATTGGTGAACTTAGCAGGGTACTTTCTCAGGACTTAGTTTCATTGCCTACAAAATGAGTAGTCTGGACTAGATCCACAATGCAAACTTAGTAGATTTTAATATATCAATAGCCAATCAGTCAACAAGTATTTGTTAAGCACTTCTTATTCACTGGAAGGTATACAGTGTTTCAGGGATCTGTGATTGTGTTGATGTGAGTGTGCTACATTGGCAGAGCCTTCCAGAACCTTGCTTCCAGAGTGAAGCATCTGAGTTGGCCATTGTAGAGGAGCAAAACTTCAAATAAAAGTACCACAAATTTGAGCTTACCTCAGATCACTCTTTGTCTTTCTTGCCAAAATGAGACAGATCATCAAAAGTCAAATGTAATAAACAAACTGTGTTTAACAGTATATTGTCTACCACCATAAAACTGCTTATAAGTACAAATCAAGTCCTTTGAGTTTCACATTTTCACAGTTTCTCATTCTTTAGGTCTAAGATCAAGTGGAGTGTCACACTTTGATGTTGAATTGAGGTCTTTTTATGACTAGTAAAATGGCCCAAAAGGAGGAGAATAACTAAATCCATATTATCCCCAAATTTGATTGCCAATAGTCAAGTTAATATACATAATAATCATTAATGTGTTGTCATATGTTATTTAAGACCAATCATATATTAATATTTGTACTTTAAACCTCAGTAATAATTGCTAACTAAATGGTGGGGCCATGAAGACAATGATTTACTAAGATTGGGTGGTGGCTCTGGAAAGCACTAAACTTCAATTTTACCTACTATACTATACTATACCTACCTCTACTATAAGTAGAATTTGAGCACGCTAATTCTTATTTCACTAATAAATTCAGGCACGACCTTGGAGTCCAAGTCTGTAAAGCACTAACAATTTGATAACAATAGCTTAGAACCCAAGACCTTGAGGGCAAATTTATGTTTATATTCAGCTCCTTTCCATTTCTAACATTCTATGCTTTTTACAATGCTTTAGAGCAATTTAAAAACCAGGGTTATGAAGGCAGTACAGCACACGAATTTGACGAATTTAATTTTAAAAGCCTTGCACTGTCTTCTTTCACCCCAGTCAACAACCCCATTTCCCGCATCAAACTCCTACATTTTGTTTCTTCTTGATTTTTAATTAACATTTACGCCTTTTTTTTTTTTTTTTTAGGTTTGAACGGGATTAGATTATATGTCAGTGCTAACCAAACACCAGTAGTACCGTGTGGATTACAGTCTGAGTTGCCCCTCTCTCTTTGGCAATTACGGTAGTGACCTGTGCCTTTAAAAAAAAAAAAAGGAAAGAAAAAAAAAAGCTACCCCACCATCTTCCCCAGGAAACCTTCCACTCTTGAGTGTGAGGCTGAGAACCTCCTTCGCTGAGCTGCGAAGGATGCTAGGGCACAGATAAAGGGCCCAGAGAAGCTGGTGCTTACCGTGTGAAGGCAGAGTCCCGGACGCCGCAGTCACGATTCCATCCCAAGAAGTCGCGTGGTTCCCGGCTCCGCAGCCTCAGGATGGACAAACCTCATCCGCCCGAGAGCAACTTAACCTCAGGTTGTCGGGGAAGTAGTGTAGCGAGGCTTTTAAAAGACACCAGAAAGGGGTTATTTCCAGTCCCTCCACTCCCCAGAGAAACGTCCGGAGACTGGAGGATAGCTTTGGGATCCTTCAGTCCAGAGAAAAGTCCTCATGACTACTCACGATAGTCATGTACTGTGGGATACTGTGGGTGTTGGAATAGATGACTTTTGAATCCCTCTGTACCCTCGACGTGCACGCACTTACTTTTCTCCCAGCAGAGAATTTTGGCGAGCATACTGTGTTTCATAATTATGTCTCCTCTCTTCCCCAGCACGCTATTCCTTTCTTCTTCCCTCTCCTCACTCCGCCTTCCAACTTTTTTTTTTATTCTGTATTTTTTTTTCCTGTAATCCCTTCCGGACTGGTTCAGTAGTTGCTATTCTAGATTTGCTCGTGTGTAGCAAACGATTTGGGTGTTAGGTTTTAGTTTTGTTCCTTTTTACTTTTTTGGTGAATTTTGAGGATATTCGGGTTTATGCAAATACAATCACTTCCCTCTAGGTTTCTCTCATTGGGCCGTTCTAGCTATTTACTAACCAATGCAGCTTGTTGGAAACATCCAGGGGAAAGGAGCTGCAACTGTTTCTGCATGAATGACATTTTCTCCATAACTGACCTTAGAAGTATTGGGACGTTCTTGCAGCTTTTAAACTAAATCAAAAACTAGTTCTGAAAATAAAAGCTAAATTAAAAGATACATCAGTATATTAACTAACTTGAATGTAGTAGTCCTTAAGATAAAAGCTAAATTAAAAGGTTGTTCTTGTTCAGTCGTTTCAGACTCTTCTTTACCCTATTTGGGATTTTGTTGGCAAAGATCCTGGAGTGGTTTGCCATTTCCTTCTCCAGCTCATTTTATAGAAGGGGAACCTGAGGCAGAGTTAAGTGACTTGCTCAGGGTCACACAGCTACTAGGCATCTGAGGCTGAATTTGAATTCAGGTCTTTCTGACTCCAGGCTTGGCACTCAATCTACTTCAGGCTGCCAAGCTGCCCTAATTAAAAGGTGCATAATAACTAGTTTGAATGGGATTGTCCTGAAAATAAAAGCTAAATTAAAAAGTATACACATGGCTAATGTGGAAATATATATTGCATGATTTCATATGTATATCCAGTATAATGTTGCTTGCCTTCTCAAGGAGTTGGAAAAAGAGAATTTGGAACTCAATTTTTTTTTAAAAAAATGAATGTTAATTTTTTTAGTTATAATTGTGAGGTAGTTAATAAAATGTATTTTAAAATAATAAACTAAAAGGTACATGAGTATATTAATTAGTTTGAATGTGATATAACTTCCAGATTTTTAAGAATTTTTTTTGTTAAAGCATACTCTTCTCTCCTGTAATCCTCCCACTGTCTGATTTTATTTATTTGCCTGTATCCTCATTTCCCTTAATGCCTTTAAATGAAAAATAATTAGCTGCCACTCAATCTTGTGTGACAAATTAGTATATTTTAGCATGTGAAACTGGTCAAAAAAGATTTGTAAATTCATCAAAGCAAAACCCAGAAATTCATTTCCCTGTTTTGGGCATTACTAGAGAATATATGGGGCAGCTGTACAATAGGCAGTATCCCAGGCCTGGGATCAGGATGGCCTGAGTTCAAATCCAGCTTCTGACACTTACTAGCTGTTTGACCCTGGGCAAGTCATTTAATCCTGCTTACCTCAGTTCCTTGTCTGTGAAATGAACTGGAGAAGGGAATGGCAAACAACTGAAGTGTCGTTGCCAAGAAATCCCCAAATGTGGTCAGGAAGAGTAGGACACAACTGAACAACAACAAAGGGTATATGTCTTGTTAATAACATTCCTTTTAAACTAATTAGATATTTTGGTAAATTTCTAGTTTGAAATACTTATTGCCAAATATATAAAAATGAAAACTGTATGTTTCTAAAATCACAGTAAAACAAGATGGAGATTGTGTATCTCAGTTGCAAAAGCTAATGAATTGTTTCTTTTTTAAAACTACTGTTAATGTTAATTTTCTTATAAAAATATATATTAAAATTATAATATATCTATGCATATATATTTTTATAAAGTGTGTGTGTGTGTGTGTGAGAGAGAGAGAGAGAGAAGCTAATGTGTAAATATTTTGGCTAGTAGTATCTAAATGTATGTAACCTCAGATTGTTTGTATTTAAGATGATGGCCAGCCAGAGGTTGTCAGAAAAGAATCTATACATCTTTCAAGAGAACAGGTTTCTACACTAATATCTGCTGCTTCTGTTAATTTGGGATCAATGATGTGCTATTCAATATTGGGACCATTTTTCCCTAATGAGGTAAGAGGTTTATTATATCTTCACCCACCTCTCACATTCCCCTAAAGGACAAAGAGGTTAGTGCTGGACTTAATTTTCCTCTTAAGAAAAAAAGGCAAATGTAGTACTTTATGTTATGCAGAAGCTTTAAATATGTTAGAACAAATATCAGTAGATGAACTCTTAACTTGGCAAAAAGATATTAAGCAAAGTCATGAGTCCACTTACCTCAAGCAACAGAGAACTAAGATTTCATTGGGATAGAGAACTCTTAGATAAGGGAAACTCCCTTTACCAGTCAATTCAGGTGGGAGCCTTCTCTGCAACTTAATATTCTTAGAGAGTTGTCTAGAGCATTGAAGGATATAATGACTTGTCCATGGTCACATGGCCAGAATTTCTTAGAGGCAGAACTGGAATACAGGTCTTCCTGACTCCAAGGTCAATATAAATTGTAAATAGTTAGCATTTATACAGGACTTTAAGATTTGCGAAGTGCTTTATGTATATTATCTCACTTGATATTCACAACAATTCTGAGAGGTAGGTGTTACTGTTATCCCCGGTTTACAGGTGAGACAATTGAGGCTGAGATGGGTTAAGTGACTTGCCCAGGGTTACACAGATAGAAAGTGACTGAGGCTGTATACTAATTCAGGACTTCCAAACTTCAAGTCCAGTGTGCTATCCCTTATGCCATAGGTGCCTCTCATTCTGATATAAATAAATCCTTTACCAAAAGAATATGGACAGTTCCTTAGAGTTTTCTAGCCTATGTAGTTGATTTCTGCTAAGTGTAACTTTACTGGACATTCTGATTTTTCTTCTTTTGAGTTGTTGTTGTTTGTTTGTTTGTTTTTTCTTGACAATAGAGAAGAATAATTGAAAATAACTTACTTAACCTAGTGTTTATATTAGACTTTGGTTTGCTGACTCACCAGTTTCTACTTAGAAAGTTTGGAAGTCATTAATGTTTCTGGAATGAGTCTGATTTTTAATTTCTTTCAGCACAGTGCTAGGTGGTACACTGGATAGAGTGTTAGATTTGGCATCAAGAAAATCTGAGTTCAGATTTGACCTCAGCACTTACTAGTTACGTGATCCTGGGCAAGTTACTTAAGTCTCAGTTTTTGTGTTCATAAAATGAGTGTAATAATTGGCACCTGCCTCCTAGGGTCTTTGGGAGACTAAAATGATATCTTTGTAAAGTGCTTTGTAAACTTTAAAGTACTATATATGCACTAGCTATTACTACTACTACTAAATAATTGCTCTTTACTATTTTTTCCCCCTAGCAACCTAACTCCCAAACTGTTGTTGAGTTAGGGCCTGGAGGTGGTGGAACAAATATGAACATGATTATGTTTTCATTTCGAGGAACCACTAGAGCTGTCTCATGGAATTCGAGGATCCCAGGGATACACATTTTTAATTCATGCACTAATTCATGCTCATTAGATTACAAGAAAGTAAGGAAGGTTGCAGGTTTAAATGCCCTCTGTTCCGTTCTCCAAAACCATTTTGAGTCTAGGTTCTCAGCATTTTGTGCCTAAAACTTAACCTGTTTTCTTCCTTGTGTTAATCTGATAGAAACAGTTGACAAAATTTCTTAATCACAAAATTTCTTAATTAATAGGTCAAATAACATGTATTTTGTATTCTGCAGGGAAAACAGTAGATACATATATATGCAGATTAAAAATGTAAATATAAAAATAATTGAGAGGAATTATGAAAAGTACAAAAACTAGGCAGGCAGGAGGTGATAAGAGCTTTAACTTTTGTGGTGGAAGTGAAAAGGAGAGATTGAATACTGAGGATGTTGGAAAAGGAGAATCAACAGGACCTGGCAACTGGCTAGATTTGGGAGCAGTGAAGGAGAGGCAAGAATCTAGAATGACCCGAGGTTTGGAGATTGAGTCACTGAGTAAATGGTCCTATCATTCAGAAGTAATTGATGAAGGAATGAGGAAATTATGAAGAAGGGTCTGTTTTGGAAGGAAAATGATGGGTTAGTTTTAGGCACAATTTTTCAAATGCTGAAACAAGTTCAGAGAAATTAAGTAATTTTTCTAAGTTCTTAGGGTAGGAGCTAAGACTTGAACCTGTTCTATAATGCCTAAAAATGCAGGCTTATTTTCACTGAATTAAAAGTCTCTCTACCAGAATCCAGCAGAATTTTATATCCTGTTCTTTGCTAATATTTTTAAGGCTTTTATTAAAATAATGGTTCATAGTAAATGACTTGGAGCAGAGAGGCTTGCACTAACTATAAGGTGACCTGTGGACAGGGGGTTAGATTCTGCTTGCATGACAGCTACAGGCATCTGAGCCATAGTTATGTTATAAGTACTATGTAGGGCTGAAGCTCAAGAACAGACATTAGAGACCAGTAGTGGGAAAGTGTTGAGTAATAGTGGGTGAAGGTGGTTGTGGAATTATGTTGAAGATGAGCCTATGATTGGCTATCCTTCCCACTTTCTGGCTGGTTCCTTACATACCCATTAAGATCATGCCACAGACCCCCAAAGTGTCACCTGGTTGCCTCACATTTAAAAGTTATTTCACTATAATTATCTGCAGGTTGAAATGACAATTTATCAAGTTGTAAGTAAGAAAAAACAACATGGTCAATTGTACTAAGGTTGATTTATGAGATTATAGAAGTAGAATTTTAGGACAAAGAAGTACTTTCTTATGTAGCAGATAGTATCTTTATGAAATTAGTTATATCAAAAGGTGGGACAGACTGAAAATAGTTTTGATAATTCATTTTTATGTGATTTGTAGATAATATCCATTGTTGTTCAGTTGTTTTACAGTCATATCCAACTCTTCATAGCCCCATTTTGGGGTTTTCTTGGCAGAGTTATTGGAGTGGTTTACCATTTCCTTCTCCAACTCATTTGACAGATGAGGAAACAGGCAAAAAGGGTTGAGTGACTTGCCCGGGGTCACCCAGCTACTAAGTGTCTGAAGCCAGATTTGAACTTGAACTTGTATTTTTAAATATCTTAAGGAGATAGAATCTGAACCTAGCTTCTCTGATTCCTAATCCAGTGCTCTTTTCACTAGAATTTAGAAGAATAGGACTATTATTCTAAAGATTTTATTTTGCCTTGGTTATGCTAATTTTTTGTTTTTCCTTTAAAGGCTGAAAAAAAAGATGTCAGCAATACAGTTATTGGAATGATCTTTGGATGTTATGCTGTGTTCAACTTGCTGTCATCCTTGTTATTTGGGAAATATGTAAGTGTCCTTAGAGTTAGTCTATAAATTGTAGTTGCATCATGATCTTTGATTTATCATGTTTTCTCAATGATCTGCCCTTCATTCTACTTAATATAAGAGTGATCAATGCTATATATTGTGTAGAAAAAATATCATGAATTATTCTTATCCCACTCTTGTTCTCAGGAGCAATGGTTTAAGTAAAGATTTTTTTTTGTCTTTACTACATGTAATAAATAAATTTGTAGGTATTTCCCAAGTATAATAATAGCACACATTTATATAATGATATGTGGTTATAATGTTATTTTACATTTTGTTTAATTTGATCACAACAAAAGAGTTTGGCAAGTAATTTATGTATTATTATTCCCATTTGACAGATGAGGAAACTGATACTTAGACAAGTTAAGTAACTTGTCTAAGGTTGCACAGTAAATAAATGGAAAAGCTAGAACTTGAAATATATATTGATGGAAGAAATACCAACTCACTGAGGGTGGGAAGAAGGTCTGCATTGTTGTGGAGAGTTTCCTCACCTTGTAGTTCCCTGTACCAGTGAAATCACAAGTCCACTCACGTTCCTCTCGTACTATTAGAATAGGTATTTGCTGAGTATGCTCAGATCACCTAAGATGGAAGCACCCATGTGGAAGATGGCAGGTCCCTTGGCTTCCTTCATCTTAGGTAATCTGGGCATACTCAGCAAAGCCTCATTATACCTTGTATGTCTCTAATCAATCAACGAGCGTTTGTTACGGCATTACATTGCATGTTGTCTCCTTTATTAGACTGTAAGTTTCTTGAGAGTAGAGGCTGTCTTTTGCCTATCTTTGTATTCACAGCCCTTAGCACAGTGTCTGGCACATTGTTATTGTTCAGTCCAACTTTTTATAACCACATGGACTGTTTTTTGGGTTTTTTTTTTTCACTTGAGGTTTTTTTGGCAAAGATACTGGAGTGGTTTGCCATTTCCTTCTTCAGTGGATCACCATTTTTTGTCAGAGCTCTCCACTGTGACCTGTCCTTGGATAACCCTGCATAGCATAGCTCGTAATTTCATTGAGCTATGCAAGGCAGTGATCCAAGAGGGGCTGTTTAGGCAAATAGGGGGTGACTGACTTGCCCAGGGTCACACAGTTAGTAGGTGTCTGATGCTGGATTTTAACTCAGGTCTTCCTGTCTCCAGGACTAGCACTCTACCCACTTTACCTAGCTGGCACCTAGTAGGTGCTTAATAAGTGTTTATTGACTGCCTAACTGACGACTTTGTGCCAGGGACTATGCTAAGTGCTGGAGATACAAAGATAATAGTGGGGAAATGTCCCTTCCATAAAGGATACCTATGCAGGGGGTCCCGAACATGGCAGTTTTAAGCTTTAACAGTTTAAAGCTTCACTAAGACTTTTGGAACAACCAGTATAAGTATACAGATAAGATATACAAAATGAATACAAAGTAGTCAGTCTATAAACAAGCTTTTAGACTTCCAAGTCCCCAGTGTGAGACTTAAAGAGAGCCAGGGAAGCCAGGAGTTATTAATAAAGAGGGAGAGATCCCAAAAATGGTGGATAGCCAGTAAAAATGCTGAGTCAGGAGATGGAGCGTTATGTTTAGGGAACACCGAGGAGACCAGTGTCACTGGATCACAGAATACATAGAGGGGAGTAAGACGTAAGAAGATTGGAAAAGTAGGAAGCAACCAAGTTATGAAGGACTCAAACAGAGGATTTTATATTTTGTCCTGGAGGTGATAAGAAGCCATTGGAGTTTATTGTTTGGGAGAAGGAGTGGAAATGTAACATAGTTGGACCTCTGCTTTAGGAAGATCAGTTTGATCACTAAGTGGAGGATGGACCGAAGCAGGGAGCCGAAGCAGCAAGTTATGTCAATAGTCCAGGTATGAGGTGAAGAGGGCCTGCACCAGGATGGTAACAGTATCATGCCACTAGTTTTGGGAGGGAAGGGCCTAGCAGCTGACAATATCAAGAAGGACTTCTTGTAGAAGGTGGTGCTTGAGTTAAGTCTTGAAGGAAAGTAGAGATTCCAAGAAGCAAAAGTGAGAAGGGACTATACCCAAGACAAGAAGGGATAGCCAGTACAATGAATCAATTAAAATTTTAAAGTAATTAGCCTAACAGTTTGAAGATCTCTTATCCTGACTTGATATATAATAACAACCCAAAAGATGCAAAACAGACAGCTGTTTTCATATTTCAGTCTAACAGGAGATGGAGTGCCACATCTGTCTCCTTCAGTTTCTTTGTCTGTAAAATGAGGAAAGTAATAGCACCCATCTCCTAGGGTTGTGAGGATAACATGAGAAATTTTTTGTAATGTACTTTGCAAACATTAAAGCACTATATAAATGCTAGATATTATATGACACAATCTTACCCATACTCTAAATTCATTCATTCAGCAAACATTTATTAAATACTTAATATGTGAAATGCAATGTACCAGATACATGGGTGATACAAGGATAAGTCCCCTGAGTCTCTTAGTACAGTGTTAGATATAATGGATACTCAGTTTTGTTAACATAAATACAGAGTTGAAGTAATTAACTCATTACTGTTATTTAACCATTTATAGCTTGTATTCATTGGAGCAAAGTTCATGTTTGTGGCAGGAATGTTTGTCTCAGGAGGAACTACAATTCTCTTTGGGTAAGTATCTGGCTTTCTGGGCTTGGGGGTTGGGTTCAACATCAACTTCAAAATCTGTATTCATTTTGAAATTTGTGCGAGTGCATTTAAATCAGTTTCTTCCTGTATGACTAGAGTTATGTTAGGTACTAGTAGGAGAGGTGGCAAGAGGGTAAAAATGAAGAGTTTCTTTTTCATCCTGAAGATATGGAAACTGATGCCCAGACAGGTTAAATAACTTGTCTAAAGTAATACAATAAATAAATGGAAAAGCTTGAACTGAAAATATGTATTGTCCACAAGAATATCACGGTTTATTGAGGGCTAAGCCACAAGTGATATACAGTAAACAACTGTGGAGTCTTTTACTAACAAGCATGAGAGCAAATTAATATAGAGAAAGCGTGTATGTGTTGAGGGAGCATAATTATATAGTCATCTGATTAAAATGAGGTAAAGATGTAAAAATCAGATACCAGGTACCCCTGAGAAGTTTCAGTGCTTTGCATCTAGTTTATTTTTGGCAGCCATCATTCAAAGGCAGAGATGAGAGTCATTACTCTGAAAAATAAACCTCTAGAGCCATGCTTTTCCTTCATTTTGCATGCCATATGCCCCCAATGTGCTGTCTCTTTAGTACCAAATATGCTCAATGAGTGGGCTGCTAGGTGGCATACTGGGTTGAGTACCAGGCCTGTTGTCAGGAAAACTCATCTTTCTGAGGTCAAATCTGGCCTCAGACACTTACTGGCTGTGTGACCCTGGGCAATTCACTTAGTCTCAGTTTTCTTATCTGTGAAATGAGTTGGAGAAGGAGTTGGCAAACCACTCCAGTATCTTTGCCAAGAAAACCCCAAATGGGGCCATGAAAGGTTGGACACAACTGGAAATGACTGAACAACATCACCGACAAAATGCTCATTTGGCAAGGTGGGGCACAAAACTATTTTGAGTTTAATTTTCAATAACTCTTGAAATAAGGTGGTATTCCCCATTTAACCTCTTTGAGTACTTTCTCACTTGTAACTTGACTGAGAGAAACAGGTAAGACCATGAGTAACTGGTTCATGGATCTACAGCCAACCCAAAATTTACCTTCTATAACTGGCAACCACATTTTGTTCCCTTTTAGGTAAAATTTAAGTGTCAGCTCCATTTCTTAGGTGTCTTAAAAACTTAGTCTGAACATTTGCCAGGAGTAAAATTAAGAATAAAGCTGAGTTGACCTGGTGCCCGGGATTCATCATGCTGGAGTGACCACAAAAGAGAACCATCAAACTGAAGCATAATTTTTTGCTTTTTTTTTTTCAATGTGGATAATATTGAAATATGTTTTGATTACACATGTATAATTGATATCCTGTCATACTTCTTTTCTTCTCAGTGGGTGGGGGAGGGACAAGGGGGAGAGAGAGAATATGGAACTCAGAATTAAAAAAAATAAGTAATAAACATTTAAAAATAATAAAATTTAAAAAAAAACCATGGCACTATCATAGTTACAGAGAACCCAGGCAAGAAAAAACAGAATCCAGCTTGGATGCAAAAGATTATTATCTTGGATGACGCAAAGATCCAAAAGCTTTCTAGTCAAACTATCTGTTTCCTATTTCACCTCTGCTGCAATGAAAACTAAACTCTTAGGAAAGTAGTAGGAGATATGTTTAAAAGCCCACATATAACATTATCACTTACTTGATGTTCACTCTATTTTCTTGCCTTTTGAAAATCAGTTTAGGCAGTGAGAGGAATTGGAAGACAGTGGAAGAAATGTTGCTATGCTGAGCTCTGGGATTCTTATTAGATCACTAATAGTAGGTCGTTCTAGTTTTACAAAGTCCACTCCTAGGGGACCCATCAAGCTTCGATTACCATCAAGGTACCCATTAACCTGTTAGTGTTTTAATGTAGTGTAGACCCTAATGAGTAACAGCAGGCCTACTCTAAAAGGTATCACAGGTCGTTCCTCCTTACCTTAGGCCAGCCAGTGCCAGGGACCTGAGGGCAGTTCAAACTTATGAAAGTTAAAAGTCTAAACTGAGGGACCTGTAGCCATTCTGAGTGATTCTGCCCAAGCTGTTACATCTTTAGGGTGGTACTGAAGGGTTTCAAATCACTCTGAAGATGCTAAGTTTGCACCCTCATTCATCAGTCTATCAACAAGCAGTTCTTAAATACCTCATATGTGCCAGGCATTGTGGAACTGTGCATTCTCTAAACACTATCTCAAGAGCTGGGGAGAAAAGAAGAAACTGAGTCACCCAGGACAAATCAAATTCTTAAAAATCGGTATTCTTCCTTTCTGTGACAGTGTAACCTAAAACAACATTTTTAATGCCTGTCCCCCAGTGCTTGAAGAAATTGAATGTTTGCTCTGCTAATCAGACTGTTATGCTGATCTATTGATTGGAGTAGAAACAGTATATTTGAGAATTGTCTTTATTCTTTTATAGTATGTTGGACCGAGCTCCTGATGGACCAGTATTTATTACTATGTGTTTTCTAGTGAGAACGGTGGATGCAATGAGCTTTGCTGCATCAATAACTGCTTCATCTTCTATTGTTGCAAAAGCTTTTCCAAATAACGTAGCTACAGTGATGGTATGTCTTTAAGTGCTTACCCAGTCTTTGTTGGCCCCTGAGTTTCTCACATGTCTAAAGAGGCAATGGGCCCTTCTTTCCATACATATTAATATTTTTTTTTCTTCTCCTGATATTTTTGTTATACTAGGTCCTTGAGAAGTAGGTTAGAAAGTAAGAGCCTCAGAGTAAGAAGGACCTGGGTTGACTCTGAAAACATACTGATTGAGTGACCCTGAACTTAGCCTCTCAGTGCCCTAGGCAGCCCTTTAAGACCATAATTTGCCGAACAGTTGAACATTTGCCTTTGTAGAAAGGGTTTTCTCATCAGTTTTTATCCCAATGTGGATGAAATCACAGGTCTGTACCAAAAATATATTGCATTCCTATCTTATATTTCAGAGCCACAGAATTATCATTAATGACTCTTTGGAGTTGATTAGGAAGGTATAACTCATTTACCACAGTCTTCTGAAGATAGAAGTATATAAGTACATGAGGTAAAAGCCAAATTGTTCTGTTCACCTCTGATTTTCTTTGACACAACATTTTTTTTCCTGGCTAGGTAGAAGCGTGAATGTAGCCACTACCACCAAATTTGCCTGTAGCACAGCATGAAATGTTGGGTTCTAATCTTCCACTTTGAAATATTCAGAACTATAGGTCCTTAGATACTTTTTTTTTTTTTTGGAGCAATGGGGGTTAAGTGACTTACCCAGGGTCACACAGCTAGTAAGTGTTATGTGTCTGAGGCTGGATTTGAACTCAGGTCCTCCTGAATCCAGGGCTGGTGCTCTATCCACTGTGCCACCTAGCTTCCCCCCTCTTAGATAATTCTTTTGGCCTCCTGGTATGGGAAAAGACAACCTTTTGGGCCTTCCTACTACCATGGAATTCTTGAAGATTGTGTGATGCACGGATGTAAAATAACTGTATGGACAGTTCTGTCACATACCACTCTAACTTCTAGATTCTGTGCTGCTGCTCATTTCTTACAAATAAGCTCACACTTCCCTCTTAAGGGCCCTCTTATCTACTTGATGAAGCACCTTATGAGTGGCAGGGAATTTGCTTGGTATGTGCTTGACACCTACACCTGTCATTACCAAAAGCTGCCTTATCAGCAAAATAACTGTCTCTAGCTTAAATGCCAAGGGAACTAACTTGACTTTGATGAGGGGAAATGACTTCATAGTAGTTTACTTCTGGGTGGTCTTTAAGTACTCAACAGTTTTAATGCTGCTAATGAAACACATTGACTTGGTTTTTCTTTGTTTTCTTACTTTTAGGGAAGCCTTGAAATCTTTTCTGGGCTGGGCCTAGTTTTGGGACCTCCTCTCGGTGGTTTTTTATACCAAACCTTTGGCTATGAAGTACCCTTTGTTTTTCTTGGATGCTTAGTTCTACTGATGGTGCCACTCAACATGTATATTTTACCTAATTATGGTAAGACTACATTTCTTACTCATGTTTTGTGTTTGACCAGATAGAAGAGACTCATGAATATATATCCTCTCCCTAAAATGGTGATGAACATGTGATTTATGTTAAGCTATGTCTATATTATGAATTATAAATTCCTTACTTTTCCTTTTTGGAAGATACAAGTATTATTATAGGATTATAGCTTTATTACCAAAAGGGATCATCTAGTCTAGGAGTTTGAACCTGAGACCCATGAACTTGATTTTCTTATATTTTGTAACTGTATGACATGAGCTTGATTTTTTAATATTTTGATAACTATATCTCAAAATTTTTGATTTCCTTTGTGATCCTATATGTTTTGTTTTACTCATTTAAAAACATTATTCTGAGAAATGGTTCGTAGGTTTCATCATGCTGCCAAAGGAGTCCATGACACAAAAGAAGTTTAAAAATATTGATTTAGTGAGGCAATGGGAGTTAAGTGACTTGCCCAGGGTCACACAGCTAGTAAGTGTCAAGTGTCTGAGGTAGGCCTCTATCTTGTTGGTCACCTCCTGCATCATACTTACGACAAAGCTACTTAGGTCTTTGTTAGCTTCTTGAGGGCAGGGATGATTATGTAGTATGTATTTAATAAAACGGTTTTTTTTAATTTATTTGTTGCTTGGGTAATTAATGATATATTAATGGATTTATGCCCTCATTGATGTTTTACAACCCACTTCTTTTCAGTCTGTGTGAAAACCCAAACAAACTAACAACAAAGAATCCCTAACCCCAAAGGAGTTCCCTCTGTAGCCCCTCTCCTATCTCATACAGCCCTCTAGGAAGTTATAGGGTGAGAGTCATCCCAGTGTGCTGGAGTCCTTTCTCAGAAAGTCTTGACACAGCATATATACCAGTAGAGCACATGGGCTTTTCGTATGTTATCCTTCATACTTGCTACATGATTGTCCCAGCTCCTTTTCCTTTTCCATTTATGTGTCTCTGCTGTCTTTTACGTGAATTCTCCTGTGCAATTATTCATTGGTAATATACTAAAAATACTACAAAGATAACTCCTTTCTATAGGCCTTTCCTCACAACTTTATAAGGTATATGGTAGAAGCAGTGTTATTGCCATTTTTCAAATGATGAAACAGGTTCAGAGAAATTAAGTAATTTTTCTAAGTTCATAGGGGTAGGAGCTAAGACTTGAACCTGTCCCATATGCCTAAAAATGCAGGGTTATTTTCACTGAATTAAATGCCTCTACCAGAATCCAGCAGAATTTTATTTTTAAATGCTGTGACTTTGCTAATATTTTTAAGGCTTTTATTAAAATAATGGTCCCTGCTTAAATTCTACATCTATAATCTACATCTACATCTATAATCCTATAAACCAACCTTAGTACAATTGACAGTGTTGTTTTTTTCTTTCTTAATAAGATGTTGTTTCAACCTGCAAATAATTATAGTGAAATAACTTTTAAATGTGAGGCAACCAAGTGACACTTTGGGGTCTCTGGCATGATCTTAAGGGAATGTGAGCAACCAGCCAGAAAGTGGGAAGGATAGCCAATCACAGGCTCATCTTCATCATGATTCCACACTTCACCCACTATTACTCAACACTTTCCCACTACTGGTCTCTAATGTCTGTTCTTGAGCATCAGCCCTACATAGTACTTGTAACATAACTATGGCTCAGATGCCTGTAGCTGTCATGCAAGCAGAATCTACCCCCTGTCCCTAGGTCACCTTGTGGCTATAGCTGGCAAAAGCCTTTCTGCTCCAAGTCAGTTACTGTGGAGTAAGAATTTCCCATATTCTATCTCCTCCATTCCATCCCTCTTTTCAGTGTAACAAGGTAAGTCCCACAAGATAAGCAGGCTAGAATGGGTTTAGATCTTCATAACACATCTCATTGCATTGTCTTTCCCTCTCCTCCCCTCTATCCATCCCATTTCTATATATTCCTATTATAAAGGGCACTACCATCCTTCCAAGCACCCAGATTCCCAGCCCCAATATCATTCTTAATTCCTCACTCAGTCAACCCATACATCCAATCATTTATCATATCTTGTTTTTTATTTCCACAATATTTCTTACATCTTGAACTTTTCTCTCTGCTAATAAAACTACTGCCTTAATTCAGGCCCTTATCACCTTTCACCTGGACTATTACAATATTCAATCCATCCTCCACACAGCTGCCAAAGTGCTTTTCTCAAAGGGTAGGTCTGACCATGTTACTCCCCTAATAATAAACTCCAAGCCTTCCCAATGACTCTAGCATCTAATATTGCTTTATCTTTATCGCATACTTTTTTTTCTGGTAAGTTTTATAATTTATATAATTATTAGTATAGTAGTATATGTATATATTTTATTTTAGAAAGATATTCATATTAGCGGCATATGCTTATAAATTGTTTAGTAATAGAGGTTTGCAATAATGGTGCAGAAGGACGAGTCATCACTTCTCATAGTGATCAGGGAGGGTTTCATGGAGCAGGTAGAATTTCAACTGAGACTTGAAGGGAACCTGTTGATTGATGGAAATGGGGCAGAGAGCACAGAACAAGTGATGGAATGGCATGAATAAAGTCAAGGAAACAAGGTGTGTGTGGTGGAGCAGTCTGAATTGAGTTCTGGCTGGAATTAAGGAGAGGGCCTGGAATGCCACTTAAAGTTTGATTTTTTTCCTTTAGGCCGTGGGGAGATAGTGAAAGATGTTTGAGCAGGGAATGACGTGAAGAAGGACATGTTTTCTTTGAAGATTAATCTGGCAGTGTGAATTGGGATGTGGAGAGGAAAGCTATTGGGAGACAATTATTTGTTGTTGTTTGGTCAGTTCAGTCATGTCCAGCATTTCATGATGTCCAACTTTTCATGACCCTATTTGGAGTTTTCTTGGCGAAGATACTGGAGTGGTTTTCTGCTAGCTACAAACAGCTTGAAGTAGGTCAGTAGTAGTAAGGAATAAAGGACAGGGAAACAGGAGGAGGGGCTGATGTTGACAGCAGGTTCATAAAATTTTAAAGCTGGAAGGGTCTTAGAAATCAGTTGCTGAGGGGGCAAATTGGAGGGGAGGAGTACATCATCCTGCTGATAGTAAGGTACCTGAGCAGATTATCTCGGGTAGCTGAGTTTCTGATAATACAAATATCACTGGAATTTGTCTTCTTCATTTATAGAATCATTAATGATGATTATACCTTTTTGTGAAGAAAATTTTATTTTCCCTAACATTTCATCACCTGAGGGAATGCTAACAGTCAAGAACTGGAACAGAACAGATCAGGGGAGAGGATACCATTCCTATGGTTATTTTCATCCCTGGAAACCATAAAGGGTGGAAAAGATGCAGGGAAAGTATCTATGGGAATCAACTTGGATATTTATCAATATTACACTTTGAATGTTTAGTGGTATATTATATTCTATGAGCTAGGGATCCCTAATCAATTCTAATTCCTTATTTCGTGATAAGAAAACAAAGCCTGGGAGCAGCTAAGTGACAGTTGATAGAGCACTGGCACTGGAGTCAGGAGAAACCTGAGTTCAAATCCAGCCTCAGACACTTACTAGCTATGTGACCCTGGGCAAGTCACTTTACCCCAATTGCCTACAAAAGGGAAAAGAAAAAAACAAAAACAAAAAAAAAGACACTTAAGTGACTTTTCCAAAGTTAGAAGCTAGTGAATGATCTACAACCAAAGTTTCCTAATTCTCAACCTAATGTTCTTTCCCTCACTATACAGTATTGATTAATTTTGGTTTTGAAATGATAAATGTGATAATGGGACTGCTGGATGAAAATTTCTACCATTAAGGTGACAGTAGAAATGTGGGAGTAAACTTAAGGAAAAAAGTTGAGGTTGATCTTAGATTTGGGAGCTTATTATTATTAGTATTACTATATGTTACATAATCATATGATACTATAATTAATTATTAATATAATAATAATAATAATAAAGAGGCAACATTGCATAGTGGTTAGAGATTCAGCTTCACAGTCAAGAAGACTAGAGTTCAAGTCCAGAATCTTACACATGTGACTGTGACCAAGATTTACATTCTGCTTTACGTATATTATCTTAGTGTATTCTCACAATGTCTCACAGAGATGTGAGGTAGATATGGTGGTTTTCCCATCTTACATATGAGGAATCTGAAGATGAGAGGGGTTAGGTGATTTGCCCAGGATCATCAAGATTTTAAGTCAGATCCAAGGCAGAATTTGAACCATGCTTCCTGATTTCAAGCTCATTGCTTTCTTCACAATTCCTCTGCCTTTCTACAGCATGCTGAATTGACCTACCATGACAGTAGATAAAACCTCCAAGGTGGTAAAGAGAAGGTGCAAGAAAGATCCCAAAAGGTCACTGAACTTGGAGAAGGCTGTTTCAGTAGAGTAGGAGCACAAACTATTGTAGTGAGAAAGTGGAAGGATCTCCTAGAAATCACTTGAGGGCAGTTTTACCTGTGGAAAGAAAGGAGGGAAAAATAATAACAGCCAGAGGGCAAACTAAAATAAAAAGAAACTTCCAAGATAGGGATACTTGTGTCTGTTTTGAAGAGGGAAATAAATTAGCCAGTGAAGAAGCTGAGATTGAAGATTTTAGAAAAAAGGGGTTGAAATAGTCTTGGTTAGTTTTATATACCTTTAGTCCCTTAAGTCAATCCAGCAAGTTCTTAGTGTTATATGTTTAATTTCTTTATTCTGTTTATTTGCGTTCATGATAGTCTTATGGGTTTTGGGTTTTTGTTGTTGTTTTTGGCCCTTTTTAAAACTTATTACATTTTTAAGATTCCTAAGGAAGAGGGTTTTATGTCCTTATTCCAGCATACATACTCAATAAATATCATTGGCCAAATTTTAAGATTTTAGCTAAATTTTCTTCAATATCAGTCCAGAATTTACATTTGAATTTTAAAATTACCTCAAAACACTCATTTTTAATTCTCTGGTTAAATATACCTGCCTTTTGCTACTCTAAAAATGCATGCACCATTTTTAGCCACATGGTGGCATCCCATCCTTTCCCAAACTTAGTGACCCCACATTCTGTTCTGTTGTACTGGAATGTTCCAGCTTTCAAACCTAGCATGCCCTACAAGGATGGGAAACCTGTGGCCTCAAGGCTTCATGTGGCCCTCTAGGTCCTCAAGTGTGGCCCTTTGACTGAATCTAAATTTCATAGAACAAATGCACCCCTGCACCTAGCAGAACTCATGATCAGGAGGCTCTCCCATATGCCATGCTGTTACTTCAGCCAATCATATGACATGGTTTCTGTTCCTCTTACCATCTCGGTCAACCATCTCTGGATCTTCTCCAGTTTTCCAATGCCTTTCCTGTAATGTGGTAACCAGAAAAATACTTTAGATGTGCTCTGATCCAGGTAGAGTGCAGAGAGACTGTCTCTTCTTTTGTTCTATGCATTATGCCTCTCAATGTAGTTTAAAATTGTGTATTTTTTAACTTTTAAGTCATATTGTTTGTTGACTCATATTGAACTTTAAGGTCACTGATGCCTCCAGATTTTTTCACATGAAATGTTGTCTCCATTTCTGTTTTTGTGTACACAAGTTTGGTGTTTGGTTTATTTTTGTTTTTTTTTTTAATATAGGCTTCAAATTTTAGTAGAAATAAGTGTAATCATTTTAGATTTGGACCTAAAGGTCACATTAGTCTTTAGAGACATTTGGTATCTTGACTATCATCCACTTAGACAGTGCCTTCACTGTTTGTCACTCCCAGCTTTGGGTCATCTGCAAGAGTGCTGTCATCCAAACCATTGATAATAGATTTGGACAACACAAGGTCAAGGTTAGATCCCAGGGCATGACACTGAAGCGCTTTCTCTGGGTTGACATTGATTCATTAATCACTGCTTATCAAACCAAGAGAGTAATTCTTAGAGCTGGTTAGGAATGTTATGTGCTCTTTAAAGCCTAGTAGGGGAAATAGGGAAGATACTTATTTTGGATAAGTGAGGATTTATAGTCTTTTCATACTTTGTGGAAAGTATGAACCCTGCTGTGTCACTAAGTAACTATGTGACCTTAGACAAGTCATTTTAGTTCTCTGAACCTGTATCTTCAAATGAGGAAGTTGGGCTTGAAGACTACCAAGTCTCATGGGTATCCATTTTATAGTTAATAGGATTGGATCTTTAGATAAGGAAGAGGGAGAAACATACTGAGAAATAAAGATGGTCATAAAAAATAAGTTATTAATAATGTTTTAAAAGTGAAATTTAAAATTACCAGGAGTTATTCCTATTATCTCCTTTGCTCAGTAGATTCTGCTCCTAGTCAACACTCATTCTGGAAACTGGTTACTCTACCCAAGGTTGGACTGCTATCACTTGTCATCATTTCATTAAGTGGAAGCTTTGGCTTCTTGGATCCTACACTGTCTCTCTTTGTATTGAATAAAGTAAGTGATATTAATATAAACATTTTCAATTTTGCATATAACTATAAGCTGCCTTCTACTCTGCTTTTAGGAAATGCCTCTAAATGGCCATGAAGGATATAAGAGCAGGAGGTTTTTCTGGAACTCTCAGTTCTCTACTTCTTCTGATGTAGTGGCATGAGTGCTGCCCCTGAAGTCAAGAAGGAGCTGGGGAGAATCTCTCTCTGACACCATTTGTGGGAATACTGGCAAGTCATTCAACCTTTCTGGGCCTCAGTCTCCTCATTTGTAAAGTGTGAAGTTCAAATGAAATCATATACTTAAAGGGATTTTGCAAACCTTAAAAGTGTTTTACAAAACATAGCACTTCCACTGGAAAGACAACAACTATGAGAAGGAGAAAATGACTTTGGAAACTTCCTGAGTAGCAGCATAATCCCTAATCTTTTTTAGATGAAAAAATCTTATGTAGATGGTCTTCAGATAATAACATCTTAGTCCAAGTGCTTCAATGGTACATGTTGGATAAAGTTTCTGTGCAGTATCTATGGGAGAGAGAACATAGAAAAGAACTGTACAGGATAAGAAGGGTTGCAATCTGCAGCAATGGATAGAATATCCACATTCATGAAATCATTAGCTCCATTAAAATAGTTTGAAATAATTAGTACTGACATCTGGTTTAGCTTAGAGGCCAAATTGACTTAGTCATTAATATTTTGTTGATATTTAGATGATTAAGCACCATATTCAAGCTTTTGTATCCTGTTACCATGATTTTTTCTAAAGGCCTAACTTCTTAGAGATAAGAAGATGAACTGTCTTAAATACTGTTTCCTAATATATTTGCTTAGTGATAGACTTCATTTTCTCCTGGGGGATGGAGGGGAAGAGGAGGTGAAACCAGTAACATCAACTCTAAGAAAACATTTAAAATGCTAAACTATTTTTTTAGGGTTTTTTTTTTTTTTGGTTGGGCAGTGAGGGTTAAGTGACTTGCCCAGGGTCACACAGCTAGTAAGTGTTATGTGTCTGAGGCCAGATTTGAACTCAGGTCCTTCTGAATCCGGGGCCGAAGCTCTATTCACTGCGCCACCTAGCTGCCCCCGAAATGCTAAACTATTAAACAACGTTTTACATTTGTATAGTGCTTTACAGTTTTCAAAGGGATTCCACTTAGACATTTCGTTGGGTCCATAGTTATTTCTTCTTTATAGATGAGTAAACTGAAGTCCAGAGAGGTTACTGACCTGTCAGCTCCTGGCTAGTGAGAAGCACCCAGAGCTTAAGAAGGAAGCCTTCAGACTCCTACCTACTTTGGTGTTTTCTTTCTGTTTCAAGTTGCTTCTCTACTGCCCCCAACAAGTAGAAAGAGAATTACCTAAATTGGGGTGGGGGGGGGGCTTGTATAAGTTGAATTAGAAGGTATGATGAGAAAGGGTCTTAATTTTATTAGTTGATTCTTACTAAAGAATAGAGCATGCAAAATGGTGGAAGGGTGAAAGGAGGGACATTATTTGAATCAGAGGTTTTTAACCTTTTTTTGGGGGGTGGGGCATAGACCCCTTTGACAAATCCTGTGAAGCCAGTGTACTCATTTTCAGAAACATGCATTGTTTTTAAATTCTTAATTAAAGGGAAGTTTCATTTAGAGGTTGCTGAAAATAAAAATGTAACTGTTTTCCCGTACACATTCAGAGACCTCTCCTGAAGGGTAAAAAACCCCTGTCTTAGATCAATGGCTTAATCATGACTTCAGTGCAATATTTCTCTTGCAGTTTAATTTGTCAGCAGGATATGTGGGGCTCGTATTTCTGGGGCTGGCATTATCATATGCTATCTCTTCACCCCTCTTTGGACTACTAAGCGATAAAATTCCAGTAAGTATTCTTTCTTTCTTCTTAAGAATTTACTTTTGTGTTTTCACATTTTCTGGCTATAAAACACCAGTAACATAGCCCTGGCTAAGGCTTCTTTCTTTCTTTCTTTCTTCCTTCCTTCCTTCCTTTCTCCATTTCTTTCTTCCTTTCTTTCTTTTTTTCTTTCTTTCTTTCTCTTTCTGTCTTTCTCCCTCTTTCCCTTCCTTCATTCCTTCCCTCCTTTCTTTTTTATTCTTTCATTTCTAGATTTTGAAAGAATAGACCTAAACATAGAATTTTAATTTTGGGAGCACACAAAATTTGGATTTTGCTTGTAGGAGAAGGAATTGACCGATGAAATAGCTGTTGGTAGTATGTGAAATCACTGAATGTCACTTCCATTCCTTAACTTGGACTAAACTGTTAGTTAAAAGGGGAATATGCTAGTGGCCAAATCTTGGGTTTTTATAGCCCTTGTTGCTTGTCTTCCTTCTTCCCTATTCCTACCCCCAACCAGGATTTGCATTTACTCTTAATATACTCAAAATTTCTAGATAACTGTTCAGTACTGCTTATAGTGGTGCCTGAAGCTTGATTAAAAAGGAAGGATTTTGAATCTCTTGTTTATTTTACCTTGTAATGTTTACCCTCTTTTCAAGTATGTGCATGAGGCAAACTAATAGTTTTACAGGAGAGATCCTTTTCCCTCTACCTCATGCCTCACTTCTTACTTTACAAGTAGCTTTTTTTTTTTTTTTGAGGTGAGATTTGGTAAAGACATTGGCATATAAATGCCATTCTACTTTAATTTTGAATCTTTATTACTTAACTGGAAACCATAACTCAAAAGGCATCTCTAAGATTAGCAGTTGTGTATAATAAGCAAACAAATGCCTTTTCTTCATCTCCCACCCTCACCATTTTCTTTGAGGGATAATAATGAGATGAAAATGAGATAATTATAAAGCATATAGTATAGTAAGTGCCTTATAAATGTGGTTATTATTATGATTGTCATTGATGAAAGCCACACAAATATGGCCCCACCTTCATTCAGTTTACCATTCATTTATTTTCTCAAAGTGAAAGGGAAGTTGGTTTTTCTGTTTACTTGAGTCTTGTAAATATACTGTCTTGCCTTTAACTTATGCTACTCTATTAGTAAAAGGTTTTTACTTTTATATATTTCATCTGGCTCTTGTCTTTTCTTTATTAGTACCTAAGGAAATGGCTCCTGGTTTCTGGAAACATAATAACAGCAGTATGCTATATGCTTTTAGGACCTGTTCCCATTTTGCATATTGAAAGGTAAAATTTCTCTTTTTTTTTTTCTCATAATTATTGTGTAAGTATCATTAAGAGGTCTTTAAGTTACTGCAATTAATCTGAGATACTTTTTTTTTAGTTGTACCTGCTTTTTATCAGTGAGTTACCTTTGGAGCTGGGGCCATGTAGAATCCTGGCCAGCTCTTCCATATTACTCAAAGCACAAGGATCTGAACTTCTTAAATGATCTAAGTTACTAAGAATAAATGAAAGAATTGGAGATGATGAAAAAGTTGCTTGTAATGCCCATGAATCTCTTCTAAATATTGATGCTAACTTTCATTTCTTTGCATGCCTAAATAAAGGACAGTTCTGGTGCTTTGAGAAAAACAAAAACTCACCCAACTCTAGTAACTTTTGCTCTCATTTATCCTTTAAAAGCAACTTTTTTTTAAGCTCTAATAATGTAAATATAACAGTACTAGTGAGCTTGAATTGGATGCCTTTTGAGGTGGCATAAGTCATTTTCTTCCCAGCTTAGCACAGCAACCAGTCCAAACTTTGCCAAAAGGACTACTGCAAAATACATTTGTTAATATAAAGTTCAGATACTGAGTAGGTATGGCAAAGATGAACCATATACCTGACTTCCAGAGATACTGTAAGAGAAACAAGACTGAAAGGAATACCCATAAGGCAGTACAGTTATCCTATTATACATCATAAGATGTTAGAACTGACTTGAGGACAGAAAGAAGGGAAGGAAATATGATAGGTGGGGCTAAGTAAGGTAAATGGGCTGCTCTTGGAATATGGAGATCACTGGGTTTCAATGGGGTATATATGCTTATATATCTTGTTAGTAGTAGTGATGGTTCCTCTGACATTTACATTCTCAGGCATTCCCCTTTCCTGCCAGGGACCATAACACCAGTGTGATCGAAATGAATCTCTGATAGAGAGAGACATGGCTTCTAGAGTCAGTGGCCAACAACAGGTCTTCTCTGTGTGAAGCTAACTAACTTGTGACTTTGATCCCATTAGCACAATCTACTAAGTTTTTGTTTTCTTTAAATCATTAATTTTTTTTCCCTTAATTCTTTTTGGCAGTCAGCTCTGGCTGTTAGTCCTAGTACAGGTTGTGAATGGCATCTCTGCTGGAATGAGTATAATACCAACTTTCCCAGAGGTACTCAGTTGTGCATAGTAAGTAATCAATTCAGTTGATTAGATGATGTATGTATTTGAGATAATAATAAATGTTGGAAACTTTCTTTAGTTTCACTGTGTGGAGAAACACTGTCATAGAAGATAAAATATCACATTAAAACCTTCAGGATTTTTGATCCTAGAAATTATTGATAATTTAATTTTACATTAGGGCATAAATTACAGTTTTCTTCTGATGTTCCATCGTAGATTTAGGGCTGGAAGCAATTTAGAGGTCACTGAGTCTAGTCTCTTCATTTTACAAATGAAGACATTTGAGCCTCAAATAAGTGAGTTAAGTGATTTGTCTAGGGTCATACAGAGAGTCAGTGTCTGAGGCAGGATTTGAACCTGGATCTTACTGACTTCAAGTCTAGCGCTCTATGATAGGCAGAAGAGTTAGTATTTTCTCCCATACACAATAAGGAGTCACTGAAGATTTTTGAAATGAGGAGTGACAGACCTATTCCCCCAGGATGATTATTTTGACAACCATGTGGATTTTAGAAGCAGAAGAGATAAATTGGGGGCTGTTGAGAAACTGAACAGGGCTTTTAATAATACCAAGCTTCTGTCCAGCACAAAGACTCATCTTTTGTTGCAACACAAATGTTTCTCCAGCAATGCCTCATGGTTATATATCTTAGAACTGTCTGAGGCATCAGAGTTACGGGTGATCCACCAGGCAATGAATATATGTCTGGTGGGTACGCTGTAGTATATTTCCAGTTATCACTTATCCTTAAGAAATGGCATAAGGTATGTAACTAAGGGACTGTGTAGTTAGGAGAGGAGATGAGCTGGCCATGGCATCATGGCATACCAGAATGTGCACTGACTCTGAAGTCAGGACCTGGATTCAGATCCTATCTCTGATACTACTTATATGACCTTGATCACCTATCTTCTATAGGCTTCAGTTTTTTTTAATGTTAATGATAATGATATTAACAACAACAACAACAACAATAGTAACAGTAGCATTTCAAAAGCACTCTACATATATTATCTCTGCTTTACATTTGATACTCTCATTTGATCCTCACAACATCTCTGTGAGGTAGGTGCTATTAATACCCCCATTTTACAGATGAGAAAACTGAAACTGAGAGAAATCAAGTAACTTGCCCAGAGTCACATAAATAGTGAGTGACTGAGTCAGGATTCAAACTCAAGTCTTCCGAGAATCCAAGTCCAGCACTCTATCTGCTGTGCTATCTACTTGTCTTCTAGGCATCTCAAATCATCATTATGAGAAAGACTTAAAATGAGGAGGTTAAAGTAGAATGCTGCCAAGATCTTTTCTAGCTCTAACTCTTTAATCTTCTGTGAAATGAGGAGGGATAATTACGGAGCAGGTAGGTGGCACAGTGGATAATGCACCAGCCTTGGTGTCAGGAGGACCCAAATTCATATCTGGCCTTTGACAGTTACTTAACCTTGTTTGCCTGAGTTCCTCATTTGTAAAAGGAACTGGAGAAGGAAATGGCACGCCACTCCAGTATCTTTGCCAAAGAAAACCCCAAATGGGGTCACAGAGAGTCAGACACGACTGAACCAACTCAACAACAACAATAACAGATGGACTGCCCAAGTACTTCCCTGGTGTCTATAAAATGTAAAAGCACCTAGAGGAAGTCCTTGAGTATGCTGGGCAATTGCTCTATGAAGCATTCATGGAAGAACAAGAATAAGGATCACAGAGAATGAAAAGGTATAGATAGGGCAGGGACCTGCTCCGATGCTAGGAGCCCTCACATAGGTGGGACCATGGATCTGTTGAAGTATAAACAACAGTCCAGTTAAGGAGTGATGAGATCTATACTACAGTTGGGGTGGTTTGAATGGAAAAAGGGTATGGATGAGAAAGTTTTAGGATTGATAGTTTTAGAATATAGATGACTGGGAAAATGGTGGTAACATCAACAGAATTAGGGAAGTTGGACAGATTTAGGGAAGAAGACAGGTTGGTTTTAGGCATTTTGAATTTGAGCCAATAGGAAATCCAGGTAGAGATTCCTAGAAAGCATTTGGTAATATTGGTGGAATTCTATAGAGTGGAGGGCTAGTTATATAGATTTGGAAGTCTCCTACCTAGAAGTGATTGTAAGCTAAAAAAAAAAAGCTCAATCATTAAAGGAGAGAAATCAGAGAGAGAAGAACCTTTTGGGAGACGGCCATTCTTAAGAGCGTGAGAAATGGGATGGATGATGCATCAGCAAAGGAGACTAAGGAAGGATCACATAGAAGGAAGAGGAAGCAGTGTCAGTAAAGCAAAGACAATAGATATCTCAGAGGAAGGGGTAGCAATGTTCAGAGCTGTAAAAAAGGAACGAACAACGAGGACTAAGAGAAGAACAGTAGATTTAGTGACCAAGTGACCATCACTAACATCTGGGAGAGCAGAGGCCAGTTTACAAGGAATCGAAAAGTAGGTGGGCAGAAGGAAGATGAGGCAATGACTATAGATCACATTGGTAATCAATGGGAGAAAGGGGATGACTTCTCAAGGGTTCAGTGAAGGCTTGGGTATTTTGTTGTTGTTGCTTTTTTGTTTTAAGAATAGGGGATACCTGAACATGTTTATATAGGCAGTGGGGAAGAAACTAGTAGATAAGGAGAGTTTGAAGAAGACAAAGAGAAAATCATCAATGAGGCAAAGCTCCTTAAGAGAGTGGGATCAGCTGCACAAAAAGAGGTTAGCCTTGGCCAAAAACACACCATTTCTTCCTCTCTGACTGGAGCTAAGCAGCACAGAAGAGATGTAGCTGTGTAGAGATGCTGGTGGGGAATAGGGAAAGTGAAGGCATTTATAAAGCATTTCCTTAATTTCCTTACTGAGGGTGGATGGAGATTTTTAATAAAAAAGAAGGTAGCACTGGGGATTGGGGGGGGAGTTTGAAAGAGCTGCTTCAGGAAACTTGATAGTCATTCAGAGAAGAATAAAAGAATTATTGACTACTGTGGAAGTGTTTTGCATGACTCCACATGCATAACCTGCATCGAGTTGCTTGTCTTCTCAGTGAGGGTGGGTGGGGAGGAAGGAAGGGAGAAAATTTGGAACCTAAAATTTTAAAAACAAAAATTAAAGAATAAAAGAATTGCAAACTATTAACAACCATATGAAAGATTGCTCCAAATCATTAATAAAAAGAGAAACAAAATAAAAGCAATACTTTTTCACCTCATATCCCTCAAGTTGGCAAAGATGAAGATAGTCAATGATGGACTCACAGTGGAAAAACAGTTATACTGAAATACTGTTGGTGGAACTGTGAATTGGTCCAACCATTTTAGAAAGCAGTCTGGAATTATGATTTGAAAAGTTACTAAAATGTTCATATCCTTCAGAGATTACACTTATAGATATATATCCCCAACAAAGTCAAAGACAGAAAGGTCCATACATACCAAAATATAGATAATAATATTTTTGTAGTAGCAAAGAACAAGAAACAAAGAAAATGCCTATTGATTTGGGAATTGACCAAACAAATTACAGTGTGTGAATATGATGAAATATTACTCTGCTGTAAGAGAAGACTAATATGATGAGTTTAGAGAAGTACAGGAAAATTTATATGAATTGAAACAGTATAATAAGCAGAACCAGGAAAACAATATAATGACACAATATTGTAAATAGAAAGGAAAAACAACAATCGAAGAAACCAAATGCCATGTAATTCTAATCACCAAGCATGGTCCCAAAGAAGACTTGAAAGAAAAATATACCTTCCTCCTTTCTTTGTAGAGGTGAGGGATTATGGTTTTAGAATACTGGATATATTGTCAGCCTTAATTGATACATTTTGCTGAGCTGTTTTTTTCCTGTAAGAGATGACCTATTAGGTAAGGATATGTTTATAATGAAGATGGGAAAAAGCAAAATATATCATTTTTTAAAAAAGTAATTTCATTCATCAACTAGGGCCTGAATGAGATTAGATAACATATTTGAGGGGACCCAGTCAGCAGTATTGTTTGCCTTCCTGTAGCATTCAGCAACTTGAACAAAGGACATGGATAGCGAGAGAGTGGAGTGACCTAAGATTGGCAGGGTTTGAAGGATAAGGGAGTAAGGGGATAAAGGGTGGCCAGCAGTATATTGTTAAACTTCTTGACTTTAGGGTCAAAGGAAGAAAGTGAGGATAGAACAAAGTTGTACTGGCCTGTATGAAAAGGGCCAGATGGAGGGACTAGGTTTAAAAAAAAGTAAAGCAGAGGGAGAGATGAAAGGTTAGGAGACAAGGATCACAGAAAGGAATTTCAGAGATCAAGATCATAGAGTTTGGGTGATGTTGAGGTTTAATATTTGACTACCACTGTGCATAGAAGCTGGAATGGAGATACAAGTTATGGGAAGTGCAGAGGTTGATAAACTAAGAGACCAGGCAGTTCACAGGGATAACATGAATATTTGTCCTCAAGCTTGAAGCTAGGGATTGGAATAGAGAAAACTGTTAGTCAAGTGTCAGATTCCTTGAGAATGAAAAGAGAGTGGCCCAGATGCCAGTGGATGCTGACAGTCACAAGACTCTGTATGGACTGACATAGACAAGTAGAGAATACCACAAAGCAGAAGTTGCTAGTGGCAGAAAGACAATGTCCTTTGCTGGAACATCATCCATGTCTGACTCCATCACCCAGGAGAACACTAGGGCTTTGACCCAAAGGCCCTTTTCTCTCTCTCTAGTCTCTTTCTTGATGATATCATCTGGGTTAATGGATTCAGCTTTGTTGAACATATCTCTATGCAGCTGACTCCTAGTTCTAGATATTCATCCTTTCTTTCTCCTGAGCTGTAGTCCTACGTCATCGATTGCTTTGCGGCAGTTAGGTGGCACAGGGGATGGGGGAGGCAGGGAGAGGAGGGAATAAACATTTACGCAGCACCTACTATATGCCAAGTGCTGTGCTAAGTGCTATACAAAGATGATCTCATTTGGTCCTCAGAACACTTGTGGGAGGTTAGGTGCTACTATCAACCTCATTTTACAGTTGAGCAACTGAGGCAGATAGGGGTTAAGTGACTTGGCCAGGGTCACACAACCAGTAAGTGTTAAATGTTTGTTCTGAGGCCGGATTTGAACTCTGGTCTTCCTCCAGATTCCCATTCTAGCACTCTGCCTCAGCAGCTAGGTAGCACAACTGATACAGGACTGGGCCTGTAGTCAGGAAGACCTGAGTTCAAATTCAGCCACAAGTACTAACACATCAGTTCCCTCTTGCTTCTAGCATAAAATATAAACTACTCTCTGGCTTTTAAAGCCTTTTGGTATCTGGTTCCAACTTCTTGACCTCCTTCATACCCTCTCCTCAGCCATACTGGCCTTACTTGTTCTTCCTCTATACTGCATCTCATCTGTCACTTCTGTACCTTTCCACAGGTTGTCCCTCATGCCTGGAATGTCCTTCTTTCTCCCCTCTGTTAATTAGACTCCCTAATTTCCTCCAAAGCTTGGTTCAAGAATGACCTCCTGTAGGAATTATATCCTGTTTCTCCCCACAGATGCTATCACCTTCCTGCTTCCCTTATAATAGTTCTACATATTTATTAAAAACAACTCTGAGGTTTCATCCCATACCATGCAAATTGGCAAAGATATAAGAAAAAGAGGACAGTCAGTGGTGGAGGAGCTATAAGAAAACAGGGACACAGACACATTACATTGCATTGAAGCTACAGATCAGTTCAACTATTCTGGACATCAGGTTGAACTAGGCAAGAAAAGTGATTAGACTGTGCACATCCCCTAAGTGATCCCGTCACTGGGAATATACTCCAAAGAAGTCAGACAGAAACAAAGGTCCAAGACATTCCTAGCATCACTCCTTGACACAACACACTGGAAACAAGGTTTTTGTCACTGTCTTTATCTCTCCAGCTGCTGTCAACACTTATGCTTAATAAATGTTTGGTTGTTCTCTCTCTAGTGAAAACGGATTTGAAGAAGGATTAAGCACATTGGGACTTGTGTCTGGGCTTTTTGGTGCAATGTGGTCACTTGGGTAAGAAGTTATTTTCCTATAGAGTTAGCTATATTTATACTTACTGGAGTTTTCATGTAAGATTTATTGTGCTAGCAGTGTAAGATTTACATATAAGAATTGATGTATAAGTTTCAATCCCTTGACCCTTGAAAACCCCTCCCAGAAGCAGAATGGAACAATGGAACGTAGGCGATGTGAATTTAGATCTCCTTTCTGCCACTTACTGTGTGACCCTGGGCAAATCTATTAATGCCTCTTATTGGTAAAGTGCACAGTGCCTTGCACATAGTGGGCAGTCAGCAAGTAAATGCTTGCTCCTATCCTCCTCAGTTTCCTTACCTCTAAAAAGAGGGGGTTAGAGTAGATGACTTCGAAAGTCCCTTCCAGATCTGTATGTGTCTGTGTCATGTTGTCACAGGATATCAAAAGCCAGGCTCAGGATTAACCAGGTGGAGAAATTTCCTGTTCAGAAAGGAAATAGCAAAATGGGGAAACTTAATCAAGACTATCCTAGGTTAGGCCACACCATGATTGTGCTCTCAGGAACAAACATCCACTTACAGCAGTTCTTGCATTGCAGCACATGCCATTTTCTACTACTGGCTTTGTTGCAATTTAGACAACCATTCCTGTAATCAAAACTCAAAACACAATTATAATCCCAAGAGTTACTACCTCAAATAGCAAAATTTCACTAACACAACTTAGGTCTCGAATACTATTAACTTCTCATGTTTCCCTAATAATTAGATTTCATTTATTCTTTATAAATTAAAATTAACCACATTCTGGGGTTTCAGACATATAGCAGATAGCTGATATTTGACTTCATATTAATGTATTTAAGTTACATCTTTAAACCACCCTATATATTTTCATAATTATAATAAGTGATATCCAAAAATATTCAAATGAAAACTCATTATTATAGTAAACTTATTATTATTATGTTTTAAAACAAAATATACCCCATTACATATTTGTTTTCAAATATCAGTTTCTATCACATTCTTTTAAAAGCTCAATTCATAATCTAACAGTATACAGATTAAAAAAAATACATTGTTTTAACAGCATTTCTGATACAGTGGTTTTCCAAATATCTCAGTAAAGAGAATTTAGAAATCCAATAACAACACATACGATATCATGTATTTAAAATATGGATCAAAACTAATTACCAGTTAGAGGATGTCAATTTAGCCGAATGCATTTCTAAATTATCTTACACAGAAAATCATTAATCTTATTACCTTTGGTATTTTATGTTAATCACATCTAAAACCTGGTATGCAATTGCATTAATTAAAGAAATAATAATAATAATCAACATTTACATAGTGCTTATCATATGCCAGTCATTATGTTAAGCACTTCACAATCATTGTATCATTTTGATCCTCACAACAATCGGGGGATATGGGTATCATTATTATTTTCCTCTGTACAGATAAGGAAACTAAGGCAAACAGAGATAATTTGCTTAAGATCATACAGCTAATAAGTTTCTGAGACCGGGATATAACTCAGGTTTACCTTCTCCATGCATTTTTCCAGCATTTTGTTGTTGTTGTTGTCCAGCACCTTTATTTGAAAACCTGATCTGAGATGAGAAAAATTAACAAAGTCAGAGGGAGAGGGTCCCTGAGGTAGGGCAGTCACAGGGGGTCTCCAAGCTAGGGCAGTCACAGGGGGTCTCTAAGCTAGGCTGGGAGTCAGAGGGGAATTTCTGAGCTGGGATGGGAGGCTCAGGAAGTCCCTGATCTGGAACAGGGGTCAGAAGGGGGATCTGATAGTTGAGGTGCAGAGGTGGGGCTAAAGGGGTCCCTCCTCACAGACCTCTTTTTGGTTTAAATCACCCTTTCCATTCCTTAATTAAATTTTACTCATTTTTAAATTGCTCCCTAATTTAAACAAGCTTTTTTCTTTTCATGGTTAAGGAAAGGTTAACAACAGGTGGCCATAGAATACAAACTGCATGCTTGTGTTTTTTCTTCACTCTGGGATTATTTTCAAACTAGCTGCCTTCATTACACTAAAACAATAGCTCTATCAGGGGAAAAGTGATCTAAGTGTTATTTACCCCTGAAACTTTTACAGAATTTAATTTTTATTTTTCCTTAAAACAAGTTCTATAGAGTGGTACTTCAAAACTCACTAAGATATTTCAGCATATGTTAAGTTTCTGTTAAGTGCCTTATCAGATAGAACAAAGATAAGGAGGTGAGATCCTGGAATTACTCCCCTGCAATCTTAAAATGATTAATCTCCAATCTCTTTAATCTGTAAACCTCTAAAATCTACTATGATATTTTTAGCAGTTCTACAAACTAGGAAAAAGTTTTCCTTTCTTTAATTATCTGACTTTATCTTTGTCATTCCAATGTGACTACAACTGAAATGACAGAAGTATCTTGCAGAGTTTTTGTTTTGTTTTATTTTGTTTTGTATTGTTTCTTCCCCCCTTAATACCTAATCTTTTGCCTGAAGTGGGAGCTAATCCTGTTTACTGGGACAACTGCTTTAAGTACGAAACTTCATTACTCTTTCCTAGCATTTTAAACTCTTTGTAGCATTTTAGCAGTTTTTTCTGGCTGTCATCATTTTCCCCCTGGAAATCTTTCAAGGTAGCAGGATCTATAAACAACACTAAACATAATACAAGACAAAGAAACAAAAACAGACAAAATGATAAGACAAACATATTTGCTGGCCTTAATTATTTTCAGTTTACAATAATGAGAAGAGCCAAATTAGGACCAAAACAAATTACCAGTTGAATCTCTTGCCTATTTATGTCAGATCTCACATAAATCAATTGTGTGCTGTTTATTCATTCTTGTAACTATCAGGAGCATCCCCTGTAGCCATGCTACCAAAAATCATTCCAAGAGGAACCCCACTTGTATTTAACTACTATGGGAATTCGTAATTCTTTTCCATCCCTGGGGGAAAATCCTTAACCTAAACTTCATCCTAAACTTCCCCTTCTCCTAGGGAAAAAAAATCTAATTATTAACTCCTCTCCTGGGGGAAAAAACTACATCACCCCACTCCTGAGGTAAACTTAATGTATAACTACACCCTAAACCTTACCTGAGCTTGGTAACCAGAGAATTCTAGGTAGTTTTTTTAAAAAACTGGCAGCCTAAGGGTCAGAGTTCTGTCCCAACCTGGCTGGCTTTGCCAAAAACTGTGGTGGCTGAAAGATGAAATGACTGAGAAAACAAAAGCTCACACTTCATTGATTATTGATTTATTAAGCATATTGATTTATTAAGCAATGCATGCCAATTACCTAACGACTCAGTTCCAGGCCACAGTCTTTTAATATATTCATATATACACATATTTAAACACACACAATCTCTTCTCTAATCCTGTGGGGTGTGTATACACACATACAACAGTACTTCAAGAAAGGATATATGATTTGTGAGCCTGAGGAGCTCCCAATGTAAGAACTCCTTCCTAGGATCCAGGAGACAAACAAAAGGGAATTACCTGAAGCAAAGAGAGGGGAAGTGAAATGCCCAGATCACATAGCTACTAAGTGTCATAGGTCACAAGTGGTATTTGAACTCAGATCTTCCTAATTCCAAGCCCAGAACACTATCCACTACACCGTATTATCTATAGACACCTATCTGTTTGTGTCCATACACATACATATATTCTTGTTTCAAGCTACTTGGAAAATAAACCCTGTATTCAACTGAATAGTGCTACATTTTATTTATTAAAATATCTACAATAACTTCTTGACTGGTCCCCTCACCTCCAAATTCTCACCCATACTCCACCCTTCCCACAGCTACCAAATTATACTCTTTATAAAATTCTCTGGGTATCATGACAGTTCCTCTTACTCAACAGCCTAAAGTGGCTGTCTATCACCTATAGGATACAAATCCAAATGGCACAGCTGCAATTTAGAAGCAGTCTACTGATCCGACTTTACATATTTCCCAATTCAAAACTGGCTTTAAGCAGGCTGATTTTTTCCTCACTGTTATCCTGTTATATGTCATGGTATACATTCCTGCCTTCTTTGCTCACGTTGTTCCTTCCACATCCATTCCCAAAGACCTCCTCTGTCCCTTTTGCCCAGCTCATATCTCACCTCTTCCATGAGACCTTCCCTAATCATTGCAACCCACATTGATCTCTCGTTTCTCAAAATTCCTATAGCACCTGTCTGTACCATTCATGTTGGAACTTTAATCACATACTGTAACAACAACAACAATTCATGACTATGTGAAAATAGATTATGAATCCTTTGAGGACGGGGACCATATTTCATGCTACCATTGTGTACTCTACCATACCTAACATGATAGATGTTTTTTTAAACAAATTATATAATGAAAAAATACTGCTTGTAGAACTATGGATTAGAAATATAAAAGATATGTGCTAAATATCACATCAGCTTTTAAGGAATTAAATTTTTTAAGATTCTATGAAGTAGGATTCTTAAACTACATTTGACCAGTAAATGCATGTTGTTTGATTTTTCTTTCAGCAATTCAACTAAGTTACCATGCAAGCATAATTCCAAAGAATTAGAGGTTCTTTTAACTTAAAAAAGCAACTTTCTGGGGATACATTTTGTTTTCTCCTTTTATTTTTTTAGAGCATTCATAGGACCAACACTAGGTGGATTTTTGTATGAAAAAATTGGTTTTGAGTGGGCTGCAGCTGTACAAGGACTCTGGGCTCTAATCTCTGTAAGTAATCAGTCTTTTCTCTTATGTTATATTAGTGCTTGTGGAAAGTAAGTTCAAATTTTAAAAAAGAAAAGAAAAAAAGAAAGGAAAGAGCTTAAATGAAAAAATGCACAAATGAGAACCCAAAAGCATTTCAGAAGGCACACAGATGAGCAGGCCAGTTTTAGTACTGTTTGGATAAATTCACAGTTTCATATAAAAATGCATGCATATCTTACAAGTGATTTTAATCAGCTATTGTAATTCCATTAAAGGGACTGTTAATGGGACTATATTACATTGTGGAGCACTGGCGAAGAAAGAGGTACTTTAAACTGTTCTTTCTGGTTTATTCTTTATTGATGATTTATTTGTTTGTTTTTCCATAACATTCATTTTCAAGTATGTTCCTTTCCCTCCCCCCAAATCAATAGGCCTTCTTTTATCAAAGTCTTAAAAAGGAAAAGTAGTTTTAACAAAACCAACAAATAAATGGACCTTAACTGGCAGTGTATGCAGTAGCCTCAACTAAAGTCTTCCCACCTCTGGGAATAAAGGCAGATTTCATTTTTCAGCTCATTACAAACTCTTCTGTTGGGGCATTTAAAGCCCTTAATAATCTGATCTCAACCTGCTTTGCCAGCATTGTTATAAACTACTCCCCTTCCTATACTCTATGATCCAGCCTAACTTTCTTGCTGTCTTTCACACAATACATTCTATTTCCTTTCTCCATGCCTTTGTATAACCTATCGCTTATACTTTACATGCATGCTCTTATCACCTCTACTTCTTATAGTCCCTAGTTTCCTTTAATAATTTATGATAATAATAATAATAATAATTAAAAAAAAAACTAACATTTATATAGTGCTTACTATGTGCCAGGCACTGTGCTAAGTGCTTTCCAGTTATTATCTTCATAACAACTTTGCGAGGTAGGTGCTATTTCCCCCATTTTATATTTATATTATTTAATATATTTCTAATGTTTCCATTTTACAAGTGAGGAAACTGAGGCAAACAGACATTAAGTGACTTTCCTAGGGTCATACAGCTAGGAAGTCTCTGAGGTCAAATTTGAACTCACAATCTTCCTGTGTTCTGTGAACTATGGCGCCACCTAGCACCCCTAATTTAATCACCACTTCCTCCATCAAATGTTTCATGATCTCCCTCAACTGCTAGTACCTACCCCCTAAAATTATCTTAAATGTATTTGAACAAACTCTTACATGTAAAGTCTTTGAAGGAAAAACTATTTCCTGTTTGTCTTTCTGCCAAGTATAGTGCCCACACATAGTAGGTACTTATTACATGCTTGTTGATTGATTAAAGAACGTTTTGTCAACCCTTCAGATTGCCAGGCCTTATCATTATAATTACACAGGATTCAGTTGTGTTGTATTGTTGTAGTTTTTGTGTATTTTTTTCTTGGTTATGCTTACTTTACATTGCATTATTTACTACCAACTTTTCCTTTTAAAATTCTCATTTGAGGGAATGAAAGTAGTATAACTTTAAATGCTATATTCCTAGAGTCAGTTCACTTACAAGAAAATGAAATCCTATTACTTGGCAAGAGTAGTTGTCTACTATACATTTGGATGCAATTTAAAATACTCACTTTTTTCCTTTTAAGAAACATTGGAGGGGCAGCTAGGTGGCGCAGTAGATAGAGCTCTGGCCTTAGAGTCAGGGGGACCTGAGTTCAAATTTGGCCTGAGACACTTTGAACTTACTAGCTGTGTGACCCTGGGAAAGTCACTTAACCCCAATTATCTCACCAAAAACAAACAAACAGAAAAAAAAGCATTACTTTTTCAGCGGGTGGGGTGGTGTTGGGAGGGAGAGAAGAAAGATCTTTCATGAAAATAAAATGTAAACTAAAAAATAAACATTGTGATGTCTTTCTCTGTTTTTAAAAAATTGTAGGTGTGAACTCCAAAATACCCTCCACACGGAAGAAGAAAGAACATCTCTGTTGCCCCATGGGATATAGCCTTATATACCCTGGATTGATAGAATACTTGAAGCTATATTTTCTTTACTTTTAGAAATCAGAAATATTATTTTCAGAAAGAAGAGCCCACAAACAGAACACAGGGCCCTAAAACCAGCCTTCTGAACGAGTTGACACTACCTTTTGAATGATCCAGAGTTAGGTGGTCAAGTGCCCTGAAAAGTTGGCCAACTTCAATACATTTGATGTGCATTGTGCAGGGCAAATGGAAAATTCTGTGAATTTGTTTTTATGTGTATGTCAAAGCTCCTTGCTTTTTGGGCTGGGTGGCTGAATGAATTCAAGTTTCTTACAACTTGAGTGTATGTTTTACCAAGTGCAGTCATTCTGTAAATGCACCTTTTTATAGGGGGGCTGGGGAGAGAGACTGACTTAACTTTTCTCTGAGTAACTGATGACCTCAGTGAACTTATACAATGACTCAACCTCAGTGACTTAATAATGACTCAAAATATTTGAAAGAATGAATTTGAAATTAAGTGAAAGATCTTCTTTCATAGTGTTTAACTCATTTGTCTATCTGGTTCAGAAAGGAAAATTCCTTCTTACTGTGGTTGAAATATAAAGGGTCCCTTCTTTCTTTAAAAAGAAAAAGAAAGGAAAGGAAAAGAATAATCTGTTGTACTTTCGAATGGCACATGAACAACATTGCTTAAGTTTGTCTTTTTATAACATATAAATCTGGACTTACGTAATAAGATTTATCCCAGTTCGGCAACCTCAGGCTCAGTTTCCTCATCTATAAAATAGAGAGATCATTTACCTCAGAGGTTTTCTATTAAAACAATAGACTTGAAAACTCCTGTTATTTAAATTAGAAGCCCTAGACCGACATTCAGGTTCAGTACTTCCTGTTTGCAGACAGAGGACACCGCTGCCCTAGATCCAGCTTGGGATCATCTTGGACTCCTTTTACTTACCCACCCCTCTCCCCCACCCCCCATATCCAACCCATTGCCAAATCTTGCCAGTTCTACCTTCACGACATCTTTTCTAGACATCACCTTTTCTCCACAAACAAATAACCACCATCCTTGTTCAGGTTTTCATCACCTCCTGCCTAGATGTTTGCAATGGCCTTCAGATTGGTTCCCCTTCCTCCTGTCTCTCCTTTCTCCAAACCATCTTTTATTCAGCTGTCAGAGTGATTTTCCTAAAGCTTAGTTCTGTGTGGGTCACCTCCCTGCTCAGCAAATGTCAGTGGCTCACTATTCTCTCTAGGATCAAATATAAAATACTCTATTTGGTATTTAAAGCCTCTTCACAACCTGGTCACTTCTTACTTTTCTGGTTTTATTATACCTTACTGCCCTCTATGCATGCTGCAGTCCAGTTATGATAATTTATTTGCTATTCCTTGTGTCTTTGCACTGGCTGTTCCTTGTGATTGCAATGTTCTCCCTCATCTTCCCTTAATTTCCCTGTTTTTCCCTGAAGTTGTTGTTGCTGTTCAGTGTCCAACTCTTCATGAGCCCATGGACCATAGCATGCCAATATTGTCCATAGGGTTTTCTTGGCAAAGATACTGGAGTGGTTTGCCATTTCCTTCTCTGGTGGATTGAGGCAAACAGAGTTTGTTAAGTGACTTATCCAAGGTCACACTGCTAGTAAGTGTCTGATTTGGGATTTGAACTCAGGTCTTCCTGACTCCAGGCCCAACACTCTATCCATTTAGCCACCTAGCTGCCTTCAAGATTCCTTCAAGACAGCTCAAATGTTGTGTTTCCAGATCTACTCCCTCCCCCAGCTATTCTTTGAGAATACTTCCTTTTTATACTGTTTATATCTTGTATGGGATAGCTAGGTGGTGCAGTGGATAGAGAGCTGGGCCTGGAGCCAGGAAAACCTGAGTTCAAATTTGACCTCAGACACTTACTAGCTGTGTGATCCTGGGCAAGTCACTTAACCCTGTTTGCCTCAGTTTCCTCATCTGTAAAATGAGCTGAAGAAGGAAATGGTAAACCTCTCCAATATCTTTGCCAAGAAAACCCCAAGTGGGGTCATGGAGAGTCAGACACGACTGAAACTACAAAATATCTTTATTTTTTCCAAGTCAAAAACATTTCTTAAGCACCCTCTATGTGCCAGGCACTGTGCTAAGAGCTGGGGATACAAAGAGAAACAACAAACAGTCTCTACTTTCAAGGAGCTCACAATTTAATGGGGGAGTGACAGCCTAATGTAGTAGCTTCATTGTGACTGATGAAAAATTTATTATAGACATATTGAAAAATATTTTCCTTTTTTGGTTTGTTTTCTATTCTCTTTTATTCTTTAAATGCTTTTGAAATAACGTGGCTTACTTGGATCTCATACCAAGTTTTCTGCAAATTTGTTTTTTCCTCCACCACTTGTCATTGTTTGGAGCTAATACTGCTCATAAATTGGGATCATTCTTTCTTAAAAGGTTTTATGGATTAGTTAATATTCTAAACTAGTTTTGCTGTTGGCTGCCAGGGGTCTTCTATTTGGCAATAACACTAAATGTTTGCTGAGGAAGTTTCTAGGCTCTTTTAACCTCCAAAATGAAGTGGTTGCTCTACAATGATTAAATTTCCATAGGAAATGATGATAGTCCATCTCAGGGTAAGGTTCCTTTTCCCAGTGACAAATAATTCTTTCTAAAAGAACACTATACATCAATCAACTTATTCTGCTTAAAAACTATATATGTGTGTGTGTGTGTGTGTGTGTGTATTGAAAACTCTTTTACCCCAAGGTTTCAAGAACTTTTCTTGGTCCTTTCCTACTTATTTCTTCAACCTTTTTCTTTAAAAGTTATTTATAAAAAAATTTTTGCTGCATGCAATCTGACCTAATCTTTCACAGAAGAGAAACATGTACTATCTTTCCCTCCACTTACAATGGTCCTCTCCTTCCACCTCTCTATATATGTAAACCCTATCCTGCTTTCAAGGCCCAGTTTATGTCCATCTCCTCCTTGAGTCCTTCCCTCACCATGTTATAATTCAACTGTATAAAAAGTATATATTTTTCAGTCTATGTCCTACATATATCACCTAATATGTGCTACTTATATTGTAATTAGATTTTTAAGTAAATATCTTATTTCCCAAATGAGTTAGAAACCCATCTGACAGCAGCAATTGTGTCTTATGACACTGCTTTGTGTCTCAGTGCCTACAGTGTTTAAGATTCACAAAAAAAGGTCTCATTGTATCCTCCCCCAAATCCTGTGATGTGTAGATAATACAAGTATAGAGAGGAAGTTTGTTGTCGTGAAAAGATCACAAGACTGAATCAGCAAAGCTCAGGGTAGATAGCCTGTCCCCAAACTCCCTAGTCGTATCACAGTAAATCTCTGAGCCTGTTTCTTCATCAATAAAATTCAGATGTCGTTGTATCAAATGATACGCCTGAAAAGTGCATTGTCAGCCTAAAGCAGTAAGGTAATGTCAATGACTATTATTAGCATCATGAAAACTACACTCTACATGTAGATATCATATGATAAATGTTTATGTCAACAAATGAATAATAGTAGGAAGAGACCTAGACCAGAAGTCATTGGATCCATTATCGAGCTGAATCACCAACTTAACCTTGGGCCAGTTACAATCTCCCTGGTTTCAGTTCCCTCATCAGTAAAATGAGAAGGTTTAAAACTATAGCTCTATAATTTTATGTTTTATGATGATATTATACTCTTTCCCTTAAAGATTTGAAGGTGCTAAACGAAGAACTTTTAACTTCTAATCCATATAAGAATTGCAAGATCCAGATCTTTAGGGATCAATTGTGCAAAAAATTGAAGAGAAAGATGGACAAGGGAACTAAAATTTAGAGAAAATCTAGCAGTCAATAGGTAAGCCTACTCATCCAGATTGATATATTAATTTATGTTGATGTCATTTCATATCTGTAGTTTAAGATAAACAGGATATTCTTCCTTACTCGTAGTATTTTATTGGGCTAAACTTAAAAGCAGGTCAATCTATTCGGGTGTTCTGAAATGTTTGTGAAAGAGGTGTCTGCAGGGCAGTTTCCTTGCAGACTGCATGGAGCCCCAGAAGATGGCACAGTCATCATTGTTGACAGCTAGTTCTTCAGGAATTGCAACTGCAAACCTGGCCTCCTTATTTCCAAATACATGCAAGTAATCCTTGTGGCAAGGGATTCGGCAGTGTACCTCATAGAACAGATAACATAGCTGCATAAAGATCAGCCAAGCTGTCCATGGACAACATTGTCCATGCTGTTTGGACAGCAGCATGTGAACATGGTACATTAGGTCGAGGGATAACAAAGTGAGCTCCATCACAAAATCTGTATAATACACTTAAATGCCCTTTTCTTCCCATGTCCTTTCATGACTGAGATCCCACAGGTGAATTATATAACATAAAATTACACGAGCAGTCCTCACTGTCACAAGGAGAGACTGGGCAGCCACAAAGGCGAGCCTGTGCTTTCCACGGGTGTAGCCCGTCACCCAGCACACTACAGCTAATCCACAACAGGAGAGTAGCGTAGCGATCAGAAGAGTCATCACTCAGAACTGGCTGCTCATTGGTGTGGTGAGAAAAAGCAAAAGCTGCCTCTCACTAACTCAAAGAGGATCAAATACCACACGCTGGATTAGCTTAGCCACCAATCAAGAAACAGCAAACAGTATTTTTTAAAAATTCTATTTAGTTTATTAATTTTTTATTAAATTTTATTAAATTAATTTCCTAATATAAAACTATTTTGAAAATGTAGAAATGTATCTGAATTGTACAGAAAACAACCTTAATCATGTAACATAAGTGCTATGGTGGGTATATGCTAGACACAGAGGGATCTTTTTTAAAGTGATAACTGCTTTTATTAAGGAAAATTAGTTTATTAGTTATGCATATAAAAATAAATCTGCAAGAGCAACCAGGACTCAAATTCAGCCAGTATTTAGTAAGCGTAAAATACCAGAACTATTTTGGCAGCAGGTTATTCACTTAAATCCAATTCACTTGAAAGTCAGGGCAGCACCTCCCTGATGTCACAGTCCTCTTGGAGACTGACGGACAAGCAGCAACAGCAGCCGCCACAGCAACATACAGGTTTCCCCCTCTCACTTGCCTCTCACCGGTGCAGGGCAAATCACTTCGCCTCTGACAAGGAACCAGCATAAAGGGCTTCTCAACAACTGGCCATCAGCAAGCTGAGAAATCCCTGAGAAGCCCTGTATCCTTAAGACTCCAGAATCTATACAGGTGATCAGAGCACTCAAGGTAAAACTCAGCCACAAGTGAGTGAGGAAGGCAAAAGCAGAGAACAAGCAATATTTACCAAGACCCACACGAAGAGGCTGTAGGACAGCAGGTACCGGACCGCGTCTTGGGCTGGCTGAGGGTTCGATAGGTGCTCACGATGGTGCCCAGTAGTGCCAGGCCACTGAGGCCTGTGTAGTGCAGAGGCTGGGCCAGGGGAAGCACTCTGGGAAGAGCAATGGCATAGCTAAAGGGATGGTAGCCTTGGGCCCCTGGGCCCTCTCCTAGTAGTCCCCAGAGCTGCTTCAACAAAATATCTTGAATGTACATTACTGTTTGCATATTGGCTCTGCCACTGGAACTGGGGCCTTGGTTTTAACCTTTCTTTGTATCTCCAGTACTTAGCACAGTGGTTGAGCCCATATTAAGTTCTTAATAAATGCTGGTTGACTCATTAAATAATCTTACTATTATGGTCATATCCTTTTTTGAGAAAGACAGAAAAAACAGCAACAGGTTTTTTTTTTAAGATGTTTCAATGCAAGATTTAAATTTTTCCCCTCCAACTCTTCATAAAATTGTTCAGTTTCTGGTGCACATAGCTCTATAAATTATTTAGGCAATAATGAGTAAAAGTTACTGCATTCTGAAAATACTCTGATATTTTGTCTAAGAAAGTAGATGAATGTCCACTGTGTATTTTTTGTCCTTTTTGACCTGCTTTGAGAGATACCTACTTTCCCAGTTGGGATTTAAAAAGAAATTAGAATTTGTATGAAATTCTCATTCCTACAAATGTTTTATACTTTCTGCCTAGGATGGTTCCCAACACATTGTGTTGTTCAGGCATGTCCAACTTTTCATGATCCCAGGGACCTAATACTATCCATGGGGTTTTCTTGGCAAAGATACTGGAGTGGTTTGCCATTTCCTTCTCTGCTGGACTAAGGCAAACAGAGGTTAAGTGACTTGCCCAGGCTAATAAGTGCCTGAGGTTGGATTTGAACTCAGGTCTTCCTAAATCCAGGCCCAGTACTCTGTCTACTGAGCCACCTAATTGTACTCCTGACACATAGTAGGTAGTTATTACATACTTGCATCCTACTATAATAACCTCAGATGTTCCCACATCAATCTATTGTTTAATAGGTTTGATATTTATGCTTACAAAACTTAGGATTATAAGAATTTGCCATGAAAGAATATGAACATAACTAAAGTAAGGGAACAATGCTTCCCTAGATTCATGTCAATTCCAGACAGAAGTTATATAATGACCAACTGCATTGAACCAGG